GTTTGACAGTGAAGTGAGCGTAGAAATAGTCTGAAGAAGAACTGCTTTTGAATTCAGTTCAAACATTGTTCAAGAAATTTATTTTGAGCTTCAACACAAAAGAATAACAGGAAAAATGAATATTAGTTGAATTTGAACGAAATTATTGTGAGACATTTCCCTTTTCTGCAGAAAAACAATATTAAACTACTATTAAATATTATTTAAAACTTAATAAAAAAAAATAATTCTGATTGAATTCATTAAAAGCTGTCTGTCTTTCCCTCTGAATTGTGGCGCAGTAGGACCATAAAGTAGCATCAACTAGTAACAGTGAAGTTAATACTCGTGTCTCCATGTGCAGATGTTCTGTTTCCTCTACATAGTGAATATTACTATTACCACTTTTAATACCATAGTAACATTTTTTTTACTAAAAGTCTTCTGATGCTAAAAGATTAGCAGCTAAATCCATAAGTGAAGACGGTCACTGCCTACAGAGTGCAGAGCTCCATTTGTTCCACGTCAACACACCTGTGGCGCAGGGCGGGCCGACAGAACAACAAGGCGCTTAAGCTGTCGGCCGACGCGACACGGGCACAAAGACGGCAGAAACACCGTCTCTGCTCGCCGAGTGGTGAGAAGTCCAGCGGCCTGGACGGCGAAGATGAGAAGAGGTCAACCACTAAATCCGGAGTGTTTGGCTCATTCTGATTGGCCACGTTTTTTGGTTTAACCAACCACAGCAGGACCTTCTCCAAAAACACATACACAGAAATACGCGTGGTGACACCAACGGCACAGCAGGTTGTGGAGTGAAGGTGGCGCGATAAGCAGTAACGGCGAGTTCGCTTTTTGTGCAGCTTATCAAGGCGCATCTTAATCTGCAGCCGAACCCCGAAAAAAGGGAGACAGACGGATCAGCAATCATAGCGGAACAGGAACTCGCCTTCCCCAAGATCAAGATAAGGAGATGATCCACATGCAGGGCCCGCCCGGACGAGGCGAGAGAGGGAGAGCTTAAGGGAGCCGTTGAGGAGAGCCACATCTAAAACAGAAGGGTCACCGAAATAAAGCGTCTTTCATCACAAAAAAACCCTCAAACATCCACGGTTATCACAAGGCTCTCTCTGTTTGCATGTTTATCAGGTGATGAGGTGAAACAATCTTGTGCAGACTATTTACTCACGGAACATCTACAAGGTCCATCTTATCGGTTTCCTCCGGCACCACAGACTGGCAGCATGGCCTCTCTAAAATACCAAACCTGTGACCGTGCACAAATCAGACACTTCTTCATGTGGGTTCATTTAGACGGATTTCTCCTTTAAATCTACTTATACTGCTTTATTTTCATGTTGCTTTTAGCCACAAGGGAGCAAATCCTACACAACAACGTCAAACGCATTCAGAGTCACTGTCCGATTATCTTTCATCTTCGCCCTCTAATCTTCGGCCATTGTGTTCGCCGGTGATGTCATTTCGCGTGAGGGCCGCAGTGTCATCGGCATGCGGAGGCCGCGTGGGCATTTCTGAACAAGTGACACGGCATCTTCAAAATTCACATCTCTGCAGCGGCTGATTACAGAGCGCAGAACACATATGTGTGCACGATAAAGGTTTGGAGAAGAAGGCCCTGTAGCACCGACACAATCACGCAAGTTCACCCCCCCCGTCCTTCACTGTCCTCTGAAGCCCCATTTGTTTATTGGAGGCCCTTTAATTCCACCACATTTTATCTGACTCAATCACTGGTCACAGACGCTGCGGCGCCACTGAAAGTCCAAAAACATCGGGGAGCTGTGTGGAATAACGCGATATTATAAGAACAATCACACACACACACAATGGATGCACAATTAAATGAAGGACACAAGCATGAGTAGGAGCGGGGGGGGGGGGGGGTTGAACATGGCAGTTTAGACGTGCCCTCGTACGCACACACGAAACCACACGTTCACAACAAAGCCGCCGCCGCACGGAGAAAGCGGATGTGAGTCCCTGCGCTCGGCTCCCCCCGACGGACCTGTAGAGCCGGTCTCTCTCATCCGCCGCCAGCTGGTCCGACTGGAACTTGGTCTCACTTACCTGAGGCCTTACCAGGTGACGAGAGGCGGGGGGGCGTGGCCTGAGGTAGACTCAGTTTCATTTCAGAGTTTTTTTTTCTTTTTCTTTTTTTTCTGGGCCTCAACAATTTTCATTTAAACTGATTCATCAAGAGGAGGAAGCTCGGCTGTCAACCTGCCAGATGTGCAACGGGAAGACCGAGGTGTCTCGTCAGTGTCGTCACATTGTTGCCATGAGAGGAGGCCACGAATCACGCTGGTAGCTGCCGTCCGGTTTGATGGAATAAATAAAGATCACCAAAACCCTCTCATGCAACTTTGTATTGGATGCTGTTTAAACACAGTGGATCTGGGGAATGAATAGATTAACATTTGTTGATTCAAGAAGTGTATTGATTTCACTTTCTGTTGTAAAAGGCTTCTGTTTACCTTTGTATGCTCGCGCTTTGGGGAAGGTATCAAATATGTTGTGAAGGGAAAAAAAAACGCTGTAAATTTGGGGGATTTTAAGGAGTAAAATCTAAAATGAACAGAAATAAGTTTGCCAACTTGAGGTCCAAGTCGTGTGACTCAAGTCCACTCGTCTGGTATCGGCAGCTGACAAAAATACTCCACAGTTATTGAGGCATTTATTGAAAGTTTACATTCAAGGAAAAAAACAGTGCGGGAAAAACACCCAGCGTTAGTTTTTGGGAAACAAGACGGCAGTTGCGTCGTCCACAATGACGCTTTGATGTGGATCAAGTTACCAGAAACGATTCAGAGAGTTTCTGTGTTCCTTTGTGTCGAGAAGACCGGTTCTGCCGTGACGGCCGGCCGACCAGCTTCTCCCTTAAGCTGCAGCTCGCCTCTCATCTGCACCTCTGATGTCGTTAAAGAGTCAGGGCCCCGCTGAACTGCAACAGGAATATCTATGGAGCTGCTGTGACCTTTTCTCCCATTTTACTCCACTGTGGTTTGCTTTCCACTGCAGTGGTTCCATTACACGGCCATTTAGACAGGCGGCATTCTGTTAGCCAAAGGGAGTCCCAGCAGTAAAGTCTAACATCACCTGCACAAATAGCAAAATACTACACCAACTAAAAAAATACTTGGTCGGAAGGGCAGTAACAAGTGGCCCAGAAACACTGTATTCCCGTGTTCACTAGAGGGAGACTTGAGCGGGGAAACTCCCTCCTGACGATCACAGCGCGGCATTTTGTGAGATTCAAATCCAAACTGACTTCAGGTTCCACCTGCCCGCGTGGAACGGTTGGTCCGTAAACAGGCGCATTTAAACATCTGCCAGCCAGTAACTGAGAAGACGATCGCGACATCATCGGTTTGGGTTTCACCTTCATCACGATTCCAGGTAACAGTTTATATGTATATTTATTTTGTCCAGCTCAACACACCGCGTGTATGTAAAAGCAGTGCGGCGGTTGCAGGGCCCGTAACTCCCCGTACAATAGTCAGATTAACTGATTTAACTATCCAATAGAGACGCGTGACTAATGGTGGGTACGGGATACTACATCGCAACTCAATTGTATCAAGATGGCGATTTGATCATTCGATCGATTCGTGTGCAGGTGATAAGCATTTCGATAACGACTGGAAAAAAATAAACTTCATGAAAAATAAGAGCGACGGAAAAGGTTCCTCGCAAAGTTCAAACCATTCGCAGAAACACAACAGGGGAAGCACAAAAGTTAATGTGCCTTTAATTACATCCGAGGTAATTAAGAGTCCACACCTCCATCTGAAGAAAGGCCCACTGTGTCCTTGGCCCATCAATCCTCTTCACTCCCTATGATTTAGTCCCAGGAGGGGAGGGAGTTGGGGGGGAGTTGGGGGGGTCTGGGTTTATGAGGCCTGAGGTGTCACTACTGGTCACTCCCAGGCTTCTCCTCCGCCTGCTCCCTGGCCGTTTCACACCTCCAGGAGGGACCATTATGCTGTCAGAGGGCCACTCTTCACAGCGGCGTGACGCCTTCGGCCCCCGTGAAAGTCGCACCCTTCTGCTTGTTCTGCGGGGGTTCACGCGCACGGCTCTGACCCGGAGCTGCAGATGGTCGTGCAGAATTAGAATGGGAGGGGTGGAACGAGGCCTGGAGGGGTAAACAGGGAGGTGAAAAGGAGGACTATCGACTTTAAACTGTGGGAAATGGAGATCCATTAAACGTTCTTTACAAGCAGGAGGTAAACCGTGTATTCCAAGCAGTGAGCACATGCTTCTATTGTTCTCACTTTTATATTTAGATAGCAATTAAAATCAAGCAGCGGCCCTTTACAGCAAGCATTGTATTTCCACAGAACGCTACTCTGACTCCAGATGCGTTTTGTTGCATAATCCTTCTTGTGGCGACAAGGTAACAACCGGAAAAACAATGAATTCAGGCACAGGTAGCAAGAAGGTTACGGTACCAAAAGCAGTGTGAGGTCACCACAGATGTAGTTGAAGCAACTCATCGAGCGGTCACTCCTCTGCAGCTCTGTGTGCGCATTCTGAACTCGACACAACCTGCGTCATTATTGTTGTTCGGTCTGTCAGGTACCAGAGTACCGAAAGCGGTTTGCTAAAGTATCACGGTGAAGAATGAGGTAACAGTGAGCAAGCACCTCTGAGACCTGGAGCTGTGTGTACTTTTGAACATATTTGTATTTAAGGAATAAGGTGTGAATGTTTATTTATGATGTATGTTTTATATATTACGCCTGAACTAAATATATTTAGTTTTTTCCCGTCAGTCTTTTGTCTAAAGCTTTCTGTGTACAAACAGGAGCAACAAACCGGTTTCTTATGTCACCGTGGACTGATCCATGAATTAAACTTACATAAGTTTGCCTGATGCGTGAGCTGGAGTAAAGTGTGTTGCTGCCCCCTGCTGGGGAGGGGAAGTAAAGATCCTCAAAAACATCAAACAAAGGATACAGCATCTAACAGAGATGGAAAATACGTAGGAACAATATGGATTGTGTTATGTTAAAACTATTTTCTTTAATCAAAAATACAGTGTGGGAATTTATGCAAAATACAGACTTTGGCATAAATAGGAAAAAATGGAAATGCACAAATAAGTCAATGCCAGTTAAAAGGTTTGGCTCTTTAGGTTTAAGAAGTCTGTTATCAAAGTAACTGAACAACAAAGTACCACGTGAAATTATTACAAAATTTAACTTGATTTTGTATCCGACAGATTACATTCACAATAAAAAGGTAAGAAAAGGAGTGAAAAATACACTGTTAATGAAATCAAGAAAAACTACCAGCTTCCTGCTTCCATCCACTAAAATTAAATTAAGAGTACAAAGAAGTATTAAAAACATCCTGAATGATCAGAAACATTGCAAACATACGAGTTGTATGTCATCAGCACTTTGAAAGTATCTCCTGACAGCTTTTGTAAACTTTCACTAAGCAGTTCAGTCTTGGCTTTGAACTCTGAAATATGAAAGAAAAAAAAAATTAGGTTATTAACGAGTTCCTGCAAATGACACCGTGTGTATTAAAAGCCTTCATACAGGAGGTGGACAAGAAACAGCCCTCAACCTCACCTGAAACAAGGGCACAACACTGGACACTGCCTCAGGTTCTGATGGGTCCTTCAGCAGCACACAAAGGTAGTAGATGATTTGATGCTGAAATTCAAGTATTAGACATATCGTTACAAAACTATAAACTGACATAACTTTAGTAGATAAAATGAAATAATAATGGGAAAATGAGAATTTGCAGTCTTTCTTTACCATGTAAATAGCTTCATTGATGACGATATCCTTGATCTTGCTCATCTCAATGAAGGTGGTGGTCTCACGGCCTGAGGCGTAGCTGGAGGACATCTGTATGCCCAGCGAGCGGATGACGATCAGCGACTCGTGGTCTACCTTCACGAAGTGGATGTGAAGCATCATGCCAACCAGGGTGACGATGATCGCACTGGACAGAACAGCTGTGTTCTGCAGGAGAGAAAGAGAGAGAGAAGGCGTTCAGCGTGTAGATCTTGTACAGTGTAAAAAAGAGAATATACTGAAAAATAAAAACACACAGATCATGTCAATTTATTGATATACGAGAGCATCAACAATATTTTGTAAAGTAAAGTTGCTGTGATTCAACACAATCAAAACAAGCAAGTTGTTCCTGCTTTGTGTGCTGCAAACACAAACAACATTTATAGTGGACTGATTGCCCTGACAACAATATTGTGTCAATATGACTGACTGTTGATGCTCTCATACAATAAGTATTTCTGTACTTCTGTGGTTATGATAGGGTCAGCTGACCGTATTAGATGCATCATTAACATGCACTTAGTGTGTAAAGAAATGTCCTCGATTTTTGGCATAGTCAGTATTTAGCCGAATGGACACATAGATAAGTGTTCGACTCGTTTGTCTCACCTCTGTGAAGCAGAAAACCGCGTATGCCAGAAGCCAAACACAGCAGGTGTACACCAACACCTTCCCGATGGACACTTTGGGGACGCTGACTGTGAACTCCCTGCAGAGGCTGGAGTGACTCTGGCAGTCCAGAGATATGGTTTTGCCATTGATGTCGGTGAAGGCTTCGTCCTCCATCATGAACGCAACTAAAACAGGGCTGAGCAGAGGAAAAGGCGAGCGGACTCACACAGCTAATGTTAGTTAGCTTAACACTCCAAACGGGATAGCATTGAGCTAGCTTCGGGCTCTGGCAAGGTCAGGCGCATGTGAAGACGTAAAGTGACGAGTTCCTGGACGGTAAATGATGCATGCGAATACGATGTTAATTAAATAATTCCAGTTTGAATATAAGATTTAAAAAAACGGGACGTCAAAACTATCGCATATTCCCAAGACTGCACTGGTTGCGTTAGCTACGCCGGTGTTACACCCCTACTGGTTTTTCCACCTACTGGTTTCCCTACGCGTGCGTGTTTGTGTTCACTCCACAGCTGCAGATGTGTCCGCCTCAGTTCCCTGATTCGTCACACATTCACAAACATATTGCTGAAAATCTTCAAAACGCATCACAAATCCATTGCAGCGTTTACGATTGTATAAGTGAGCACCACATCACGGCCACGTATGAAAACATTTATATAAAAAAATATATTAAAGGAAAGATCGGCACAACCTGGATTCGAACCCGGGGGATCAAAACATCAAAATAGTAACCTGAAGGCCGCTCTTAGCAGTGCGCCACGGAGACACACAGCAAATTATTGACCCTTAGTATAATCTATTCATTTTGTTGACGTAGATCAGCATGGAGGAAACCTTTTGGTGTCGTGGATTTAAAACAACTGGTTACCTTGGGCGTGTCTTGGAACACTTCAGGACATGTGCAACGCTACTTCTTCACGAGGCTGCAGCCTTGCAGCGACACATTTTGATAAAGAAAGGATATTGTTTTCTTACGGCCATCGCGTGACGTAAACCACAGACACGAACAAAACAAAGTTTAGAAAATATATTAAAAGATCGAACCGACCAGGTTGCGAACCCATGCAGCAAAATGCAAACGTATCAAACTGCGGTTAGCGCTATGCGCTGCGCCACGGGGCAGTACGCACAGTTTGGTCTTAATATATCACTAGACGGTGATTGGCGTGGAGGAAACCTTCTAGTTTCGTGGATCTGAAACAACTGGTTACCTTGGGCGTGTCTTGGAACACATCCAAAGAAATGTATCGATTCTTAATTGTCACCCAATTAAAGTTAACAAGCAGCATCCCTATAAAAACGCCATGAGGTACATACGATCTTTCCGAACAAGAGATGGACCCACAAAAAGTGAAGGAATTAAGTGAAACAGATTGTACACTTGCAAAACTTCTATCAGGAATTTAGAAATTTTATTAAATAATTGTGTTTTAACAGTCACAATAAATAAATCATTGAAAAACAAAATAAAGTAGCTCTAAAGAAAGCATGCTGGACAGCAGAAGTCCTGCTCCAAACCCAGTGGAACCACAGATGGATGTCACGGAAGACATGCCCAAGGTAACCAGTTGTTTTAGATCCCCTCCACCAGAAGGTTTCCTCCGTGTCAATCACCTTGCACTAATATATTAAGACCTAAATCTGCGTACTACCCCGTGGCGCAGCGCATAGCGCCAGCAGCAGTTTGATACGTTTGCATTTTGCTGCATGGGTTCGCAACCTGGTCGGTTCGATCTTTTAATATATTTTCTAAACTTTGTTTTGTTCGTGTCTGTGGTTTACGTCACGCGATGGCCGTAAGAAAACAATATCCTTTCTTTATCAAAATGTGTCGCTGCAAGGCTGCAGCCTCGTGAAGAAGTAGCGTTGCACATGTCCTGAAGTGTTCCAAGACACGCCCAAGGTAACCAGTTGTTTTAAATCCACGACACCAAAAGGTTTCCTCCATGCTGATCTACGTCAACAAAATGAATAGATTATACTAAGGGTCAATAATTTGCTGTGTGTCTCCGTGGCGCACTGCTAAGAGCGGCCTTCAGGTTACTATTTTGATGTTTTGATCCCCCGGGTTCGAATCCAGGTTGTGCCGATCTTTCCTTTAATATATTTTTTTATATAAATGTTTTCATACGTGGCCGTGATGTGGTGCTCACTTATACAATCGTAAACGCTGCAATGGATTTGTGATGCGTTTTGAAGATTTTCAGCAATATGTTTGTGAATGTGTGACGAATCAGGGAACTGAGGCGGACACATCTGCAGCTGTGGAGTGAACACAAACACGCACGCGTAGGGAAACCAGTAGGTGGAAAAACCAGTAGGGGTGTAACACCGGTTGGTTGTTGTTATAGTTACTAGCATCGAGGAAGGGGGCGGGGCCTGTCGCTTGGCCAGTTCTGCAATAACCATCCATTTAAATATTCAATTTAATTAGTGTTAGTAATGAAACATATATGAAGCTAAAATAGGTATTAACACGCTGTATATAAATCAACTCACTGTCTACGACTTTGTATAAACGTTGTTGTACTCCAGGGTCACAAATGGTAAACGTTGCAAAGCATTGTGGGTAGCGGTTGGCATGTTGTCAACACATCGACTCGATTCGTAGTAGTAGCCTTGTAGATAATATCAAACTACATTTCGAACACATAACAGGAGTATCAGTTAGTATATCTATCAGATATATGTTCAACCGTTCATAAAATCACAGATAAGACCCTCGTCCTTTCTCTTGAGTCGAAGTCCTTCATTTCCCAAGATGCATTATGCGTTTTTAATGACCTTTGAACCCTGGATAAAAACAAGCCGACCAGCTGACGCGAAAGCAACAACATCGACAGGGTTCTGACCGACACAGAGTAGCTCGGCGGGCTACCTTTCTCCACAACGTTAGCTGTGCGCGTCGGCCGTCGCTGCGGTGCGTCACGGTAAACGTGTCCGGTCGTAGACTGTGTTTCGGCGGCGTTTTGGCCCGTCGACGTCCCTCGGACTGTCCCCACTGCTGCTAGGTCAGTCGTTAGAAACCGATGTGTGTGCCTCTTTGTGTCGCCAGTGATCGGATAAAGCATCGCGTCACTGGGTGTCAGAACGTACTTGCTCTAAAAGCCTATTGAGTTACTTTTTGAATCAGCTGGAGCAGAACCACAACAAGACGGGAACAGATGCGCGCGCAGCTAACGTTAGCAAGCAAAGTGTAGTAAACATCAAGTCATTCTTCTCATGCACTATTCTGACATTGTTGCCTGTTCTTTACTTTACTGCCGGCACATTGTCGGAAACCGGTATTAAGCCCCCCCGGTTTAACACGTCTGTCACGTTTTGCCTTTGAGCGAATTTAGCTTTTTTTTGTCTTTGGAGAATTTCAACATGAAGGTTAACGTTACATCACATCTGGTCACACTGAGCGCGTCTTTAGCGCGTCACAATTTTGTTTTCTTCTGTCGCAATCCAAGGTGGTCCCCGCCTGCCGAGGGGTAACTCGTCTAGAGACCGGTGGAGCCCCGCGATGAGTGGTCAAGGTGCAGCCGCAGGTAAGGGGACGAGCGCGGCCCCGGGCTGCCAGGAGAACTACGCCTGCGGGGGTTCGGACGAGGCGGCGTTCGAGTGCGACGAATGCGGCAGCCTGCAGTGCGCCCGCTGCGAACTGGAGCTCCATCGCCAGGAGCGGATGAGGAACCACGACCGGGTTCGGATCGCGCCGGGCCACGTTCCTTTCTGTGACTCGTGCAAAGGGGACGGCGGCGGGCGGCTCAGGGCGGCGGTGCGCTGCCAGGGTTGCAAGATCAACCTGTGTTTGGACTGCCAAAAGCGCACCCACGGCGGGGTCAACAAGAGGAAGCACCCTCTGACCCCTTACCCGCCCGCCAACGCCTCCCGGGATGACAGCGCGGCTTCTGCCGAGTCGCAGATGGAGACCCTGAAGGCCGAGCTGGAGAAGGTGTGCAGCTTCCTTTTGGTGGACGAGAGGGAGGAGATGCAGGTAAAACACTGTCCATAATTTGAAATAGTTACTTTTTGGAGATGTCATGCCGATGGGGCTGATCTGTGGATTCTCAGGTGAAGGATGAGGACGACTTTGTGAGCAGACTGGGCTGCAGGTCAGACGAGCTCCTCAAAGTGGTCTCCATATTTGGAAACACCGGCGAGGGCAAGTCCCACACCCTGAACCACACGTTTTTCCTTGGACGAGAGGTGTTCAAGACCTCCCCCACCCAGGAGTCCTGCACAGTGGGCGTGTGGGCAGCCATGGACCCGGTGCACCGAGTGGTAGTCATCGACACGGAAGGACTGCTCGGCGCTGGTGCGACGCAAACGATGGAAAAGCTTAATGTAGTGAAATAAACTGAGGTAGGGAGGAGATGCTTCCCTCATTTAACACACATTTTTACCTTTCACTCATCAGGAGCAAATCAAGGTCAGCGAACACGCCTGCTCCTCAAAGTCCTGGCCATCTGCGATGTGGTCATCTACCGAACCCATGCCGACCGTCTCCACGACGACCTCTTCAAGTTCCTCGGTGATGCGTCCGACGCCTACCTGAAGCATTTCACCAGGGAGCTGAAGGCGACGACCGCCCGCTGTGGTCTGGACGTCCCGTTGTCCACGCTGGGCCCTGCTGTGATCATCTTCCATGAGACCGTGCACACCAAGTTACTCGGATCAGGTACATCAGTCAGTCCCCTTTTCATTCTTTGGACAGTTTGTTGGACCCCGTGTTGGACTCTCTCTCCGTTGGACTCTTTTCCACCTCCAGACAAACCGTCCGACTCGGCAGAGCGTCTTCTCCAGGAGCGTTTCAGGAAGCTCGGCCTGTTCCCGGACGCGTTCAGCTCCATCCAGTACCGCGGAACCCGGACCTACAACCCCCCCACGGACTTCTGCGGTCTGCTGCGCAGCCTGGAGCAGCAGCTGGACAACAACACCACCCGCTCGCCGCGCTCCGCCAGCGTCGTCTACAAAGCTCTGCAGGTGGGATGAAATGTGGGACGTAAACCGATGCCCATTGGGCACCTCGTAACGTGCGCGTACACACTACCAACGTGTGAATGTCAACATGGAAGGTGAACGTTGTTGACCCTCCGTCTCCTCCCGGCTGCTTCCTTCAGGCCCTGAGCGAGCGCTTCAGCGGGGACATTTCAGATGAGCACATGGCCAGTAACTCTTTCTTTCCAGACGAGTACTTTACCTGCTCCAGCCTCTGCCTCAGCTGTGGGTACGTGTCCCTTTCCGTTCTGTCACAGTTCCCGAAACGTTTGAATTGATGACCAAAAGGACTTTTCACATACCTAAACATTCTCATCCTTTTTACTTTTCACACTGCTTAAGTGGGCATAGCACTTCTCCACGAGTCACAACAAGGCCTTCTCAGGTTTACTGAATTAGTGACGAGGAAATAGCAATTTTGAAAGAAATATTAAAAAAGGGAATGTTAGCTAATTGTATTTCTATGTCATTTCCTGGTGGATCTATCAATGATACCGCTTTGAACGTGAGAAGTGCACTCCGTACAAAGCAGATCCTCCCCACTTGGGTCGGCTGCAAAGCGCTTCTCTCCGTTGTGATTGAATCAACACAAACCTTCCTGCCTTTTGTCTCTGACTTTCAGTTCGGGCTGTAAGCGGAGCATGAATCACCTCAAAGAGGGACTCGACCACGAAGCCAAACATCGCTGCCGCTACTCCGCACAGTGCGACAACCGCATCTTCACCTGCAAGGCGAGTACGAGCCCAGAGTGTCGAATCCTCGCCTGCGCAACGAGGCTCTGAGTGTCTGTGCTGAACTCCTCAGGCCTGCTACGAGGGAGGGAAGGAGGTCAAAGTGGTTCCCAAAACGACGGCGTCGTCCGACTCGCCGTGGTTTGGCTTGGCCATCTACGCCTGGTCCGGGTGAGTCCAGCTACCACCAAGCCCTTTGGACGTGGCTCCATCATGTACCATCATATACCATCATGTAAACCATGATGGTATAATTGTAATCTTTGCTGAGTCGGACTGTGCTCTCTTTCGTGGGGAGGTGCTATTATCCCAATATACATGGCAGTGAATGAATCGAATCATTGGCCGAAAGCACGTCACATCCAATACGATAGGTGGCGCTGTTTTCATTACAACTAGTCGTGATACAGCCATTTCCGCTTGACCTCTTCACCACCAACAACAACAACAACGTCAACATTAGGAGAAAGATGGCGAGCGGAGAGCGAGGTGAAGCTACGTCCCTCTATTGTCTGTGCGTGATGCTAATAGGAGCACAGCGATTTGATAACGGAGAGAAGACGCCGCCGGGATCTCAAGCATCCAGTTCCTCATCCGATTCACCGTTACGTGCCGCAATAGTCGAACAATCAACCGGATCGGATGGAGTTATCCAGGAGTGTTAGTCGGATCGTAGTCGGACCGCACGTAGTCGGACAAAGGTGTTTACATGAAACGGATCATTCAATTTCAGTCCGACTGAGGCAGTTATTTGAATCCATGTAACCACGCTGACTGATTAACCCTGGAACTGTTTGCCAGTTCACACCTGCAACAACAGAAAGAGCGAAGGCTAATGGATAATCTCCTCCCCTTTGCTGAAGGAGCTGAGCCATTTGTTTTTTGTGTTTTTTTTTTTGTTCAGCTACGTAATCGAGTGCCCCAACTGTGCAGTGATCTACAGAAGCAGGCAGTACTGGTATGGAAACCAGGATCCAGTGGAAACCGTGGTCAGAACGGAGATCCAGCACATCTGGCCTGGCGTGAGTCCACAGTGAATCCCCCCCCCCCCTGAATGAGACTCTGCATTGACCGATTAACCCTAACATGCAGGTTCTTCTCCTTTCAGTCTAACGGCTTTCTGAAGGACAACAACAACGCGGGCCAGAGGTTGCTGGATGGAGTCAAATACATTTCTCAGTCCGTGTCGGAACTCAGCGTGACGCCCGCCAAAGCAGTCACCTCCTGGCTGACGGACCAGATCGCTCCGACCTACTGGAAGCCCAACTCTCTTATCCTGGTGCACCTAAAATCCACAAACTAACGTTGTTGCTTGGATGCTGCATTTGAAAACACCTCCCCAAAATTGTGCAGCGTGGCAGCTGATGGTCGATGTCTGATTGCAGAAATGCCACAAATGTGCGGAAGAGTTCCAACCCAACGACGCCAAGCACCACTGTCGTGCCTGTGGGGAGGGCTTCTGCGAGTCCTGCTCCTCAAAAACCCGGCCGGTCCCCGAGAGGGGCTGGGGGCTGGCGCCGGTCCGGGTCTGCGACGCGTGTTTCCACAACAGGGGGATCCCGACTGGTAAACTCCTCCCCCCCAATGCCCCATGTGATGTTCCGTTTTAACTGTTGTCCGTTAAATGTGAGCGCGCTTCCCCTGTTGCAGAGTTGCTGGATGCTGCCCTGGAGGAGGAGGGGGGCACCCTCATAGCCAGGAGGGTTGGGGAGGTGGTCCAGAACACTTTAGGGGCGGTGGTGGGCGCCATCGACATACCTCTCGGTGAGCACCGCGTCCGGGCCGCGTCGTCGGAACCCACGCAGGGGTTAGATCATTTCTAACTACTGCTTCCCGTCCAGGCCTGGTGAAAGACGCCGCCCGGCCGGCCTACTGGGTCCCGGATCAGGACATCCGCTCCTGCAGCGAGTGCCAGAGGGAGTTCTCCCCGCGTCTCCACATCCACCACTGCCGCGCCTGTGGCCAGGGAGTGTGCGACGACTGCTCCCAGGGGCGCCGCGCCGTGCCGTCCCGCGGGTGGGACCACCCGGTGAGGGTTTGCAGCGGCTGCAGCCAGAAAGTCGGGGAGCTTTAGCAGGACGAGGAGGAGGAGGACGGCCGGGGGGGGGGGGGGGGCTCCTTGTGAAAACGGGAAGTGTCGACGTTTTGACGTGTGGCTCTAAGCGCTTGAGTTCCCTCCGGTCTCTTTAGTGGCGTCCTCGGCTGCACCTGGACGCCCCGTGGCAGGTTTGCTGTTTCTCCAACGTTGTCCCTTGACTATTTCGCTATAATCTGCCTATATTTTACACTGTGAAGAATATCCGTCTGTGTGAGACGTGAATATGAAGAAGAGAGGGGAGATAAAAGACGAGAGGGAGTGTTGTACCTGCTTGCTTGCAATTGAGTTCAGGCAAAATGTTGTGTAACTCTTTTGTGATCCTTTTTAAAATGAACCCCTTTGACAATCCCTCCCCAGTGCGACACGCTAGTACGATTAGCACCTTTTGTAGTCCGGGGCTACATGTGTGAACTGTTTAATAAGTACCGACTGTGCATCATTAACTGGTTCCAAGGATGCATTTTTCTGCCCCGATGAAGCATTCGGGATCAACTCCAGGGGGGAAATGGGTGGAGCTTGTTGGAGCAGATTTACGTAGCTTTCCTCCTTATTCTTCTTCTTACGTAATCCTGTTCAGATGACATCAGAACAGCCTTGATAACGCTAAACGCATTGTTTCAATTTGAAATAATATACATATATGGGGAGGGGATTCTTTCATAGGACATTTTTTTTAACTGTTAAAATTATTAAACGCTTACAAATCTGACTGTACGGGGTGTAAAATGCAACAGGAATTGCTTTAAAGGAGTGGCTGGCTCACATGGCAACATGGTCCGGAAAAGACTTGAACCCATCTTTGAGGCTGGTCCCTCAAACCAGGAAAAAAAAATCTAAAGTCGAAATCTTTTAAGTCTTCCAACTCAGGCGGTGTAGCTAGTTCTCGTCTGAGGCTGTACATCAGCGTTTATCAGACAAACGCTTGTGACTGAACCCTGCTGAGACCCGACGGCATCTCTGCTTTTATTCAAGTGACTGTTAGTTTGGTTACTATGGCAACTGAAATATCACTTATCTGAATCAGTGAACCATCACCATTGTTCCGATTTCAGAGACCTTCAATGAATACTGATGTCACAAAGAATGAATCAATAACTTTATGATCATATAGTATGTATTAAAATGCATAAACTCTGTGTGTGTGTGTCATTTAGGAGCAAGTACAAAGCAAGAGACAGCGTTTACTCTTCTTTTTAAATAGAATCTTCATTGAACGGCAATACGAAAATGTGCTGATATAAAATATTGCTTTTAAAATTGGGATCAGAGACGTCCTGAATCATGTCAAAAATCAAACTCAATCACGCCATCAGTAAGAGCACTTTGCTTTGTAAAGATTTCAGAAAACGAGTAATTGTACGCACTCATGTGGCGCTTCCACCTTTCGGCACAAAGTGGGTCAAAAAGTAACATTCCCCTGAGACTCCATTGCTTCTCCTCTGAGGTCAAAGTTCAGTGCTGCCTTGTGGAAATTAACGGCATACTGACGAAAACCTTTTCTATTACAGAATACATATGAAATAGAACACCATCCATAAAGTTGGCAAAAAAAAAAAAACATGGTTCCCTTAAGAAATGATCAGTGAGAAGAAGAGTTCCCAATCTTTTCCTAGGAGACGTTTCCCGGCTGCTCCGCTGCTTCCTGGTAGTCCGTGTTGTAAGGGAAGTAGTAAAGGTCGTGTTTGACGGCCATTAGCAGGCCAGGGAGCCCCCTGCACCCCCCCAGCTTGGAGGAGAAGACCACGCTGGGGATCAGGTCGTTTGCGGCCGGATGGGGGGATGGGATAGTCCTCAGCAGCTGGCCATCCTTTAAGCTCCATAACCGCGTGTAGCAATCCTGACCGACTGGGGAAAGGACACGAGAGCAAAAGGAGCGTTTTGGCTGAAAACTACTTCTTTCTTTTAACGGTATGTTGATAAAAGTTGAACGTTGTCCTCTCCTACCTGCCAACAAAAGCCCCTCAGGCTCGTTGACTTGGATAGGAAGGTAGGCATGCTCATTGTGGTGCCCTTTGTACTCCTGTACTGGCTTTGTCGCTCGCACATCCCACAGCTTAATCTGTGCGTGGACGAAGAAAACGTACAAATCCACGCGGGTTAAAATATATAATACAGATATTTTTAATGATTTCATTGTCCATTTTCTACTAAGCCGATGAACCTGACCTGGCCCAGCATGTCAGCGGCGAGCAGGTAGTTGTCGTCCTGGAGGACGCGTACGGACGTGATGGCCGACTCTTGGTGGAAGCGGCTGGCCTTCCAGCTTTGACCTCGGCGGCTTCGCTGACGCAGGTCCAGGCTGAAGATCTCCCCTGATCGGCAACCGTTAAACAGCACGGGGACCTTAGGAACAAGCAGGCGGTTTACTCGCCTGGCCTTTTCTTTTCTCTTTCTTACATCGTGCTCGGTCATGGTTGAAGAGACATCTTCCAGGAGCGTGTTCAAAGTGGACTCATGCGACAGGCGACTCACTCTCAGGGCAAACTGCTGAGCCAAGACGTCGCTGCCGGTGCTGTACGTCTGCGTCCGGCCCGTCTCGGCATCTTTCACGATCACCCTACGAGAGAGACCTGGCAACACATGTGATAACACTTGAATTGGTATAGAAATTCACAGAGAGAAACTTCTTTTAATTGTTGTAAAGCAAGCAAGCAGTATTTTTTTTCTGTCCAATTAATTTGAGTGTGACTTAAAAAACGGTTCAACACCCAAAAAAAGTGTGCAATGCAAACAAGCCCTTGCACGGCCCGACAGAAGAGGATTTTTATGGTCATTTGATGATGAATGGCCTGTTGGATCATGAGTGGGAAGCCGTGGATGATGGATGCACAGACCAGTGCTGAAGGTCTTGTCAAACTGGGGGTTGAGGCACCAAGCACAAGACCAGGCTGAGGAGATCTTAAAGCTGCACAGCATCCCGGGCTGATCTGAGAAAAGAGGAGAAATGTTATTAGGGAGGTTGTAAACAAACAATGCCAACATTAGATGTATTTTTCTTTTCCCCACCTGGGTTGGAGTTGCTGAAAAGGGAAGCAGGAAGCAAACTGACGCAGCCGGGGGTGTCTGCTGCTCCAACCAGGCACAGCCTGACAGTCGGCGCCGTCAAGGGATACACAGACAGCCCGGGACTCCTAAGCTTTTACGGTCTCCGCCTTTTCGGGTTAGTGTTATGGGACACGAATGCTGCCTAAGCTCACCACGAAAGATGAAGGATACAGGACGTGTGAGTCCGGGTAGTTGACCGAGGCCCAGCAGATGGAATTCACCTGAAACACATTTAGAAAAAGAGCTTGATACGATACAAAAGCTTTCCGTGAAATGTAAGGTGGTGCAGTGAGTGCTCCCGTGAGTCACTCCCACCTTGCGGTTGGTGAAGTAGAGGTTGTCGCACATCTCCACGGACAAAGATCCCCGGCTGCTGCTGCTGAAGTTCATGATGCCGTACTTGCAGCCGCCATGTGACACGTCGTTGACTGTGAACACGCGCTCGCATGCAGAGTCCCCCTGGGGACGATGATGGGGAACAAGAGGGAGGAACACTTCACTTTAAGTAGAATATGTGTTTGTGCAGAATCTATGCGGCCCGGCGTGTTCGCGGCGTCCGTGATCTCACCACGATGAGGCGGAAGTTGTCCGTGTCGGGGTTGCTGCTGTCCGTGCTTTGGATCTCCAGTTTGTGGCGTTTCATTCCACTGACCTTCACCTCGTGGACCAGCCTGGAGACGCACAGTAACCATGTTAACAACCACCACAACCATCTGCAGAGGAAACACTCCTCCTCTTTAATGGACATATTTTGACTGCCTTTTTGCATTCCTACCACTTGTCAAAATAGATTTCCATCATTGTTAGAGGCTCCAAAGAAAGCTCCCTCTACACATGCAGAACTGATCATCATTAAAGTTACAGTGGAATGTATTTCAGCTGCGGTGATACAGATGTGGACAGATGTGTACACAGCCGTGTGACACGGTACCTGCTGTAAGAGTGCTCCGGTAGCATGCCGAGGTGTCTCTTCTGCAGCAGCAGCAAAGTGTTCAGTCCGGTTCTTGGTGCTTTCTAAGAAGAAGGTGACACGTCGTTAAACCAGAGCACGCGGTGAGCCAAAGCACGCAGAGGCAAAGGCGCTTTGAAAAACTATTTCCAGCTCACGACAAAACTGACTTTTCTGGGCTTTTCATCCTCTGCGAGCATCTTGTTTCTCTGCTGCTCTCTTTCCTTCTTCTGCAACATCTCCCTGGTCAGCGGGTTACAGTTGTTGTGTCCGGGCAACAGGCGGAAGTAGCGGTTCTTCTCAGGGTCGAAGTAGAAACCAGGCAGCTCTGGCAACACAACGGGGGCGATGGAACATTGACCATCCAATGCATTTCTCCCAGTTCAAGCTGCACGCGTGATTATTTACAGGTGACACAATAAGGTGCTGTGCTACATGAGTATTGTGTGGCAGGGGCCAGTTAGGCGTCCTGGCTGTCACCGGGGGGATCTGGGTGATGGAGAGGGACCGGTGCGGTGTTGCACTGACCTGGAGCAGCATTGCTGGTCTGAGAGGAGGAAGAGGACGGTGGGGGGGAGGAAGGGGACGAGGAGGAGGCGGACTGGTTCTCCAACCTCCTCTGAGGTGCTCTCGAGGGTGGCCGTGCATTATTGTGTCCAGTGCTGTGAACAGAGACCCACTCTTACTGACGTTGCAAGCAGAGCCCGCGTTGGCCGGTACTGATTAACGTCACTTTAAAAAAAAAAAAAACCGAAACCCCAAAATGTTCCCTGAACGTTACCGCTGTTCGTCCTGTGAGGACCGGTGTCGGTTGCCTCTGTACCATCCTTGGCGCTGACCGGCCCCTCGTCGCCTGTGTGGTCGCTGCCCGTCTCGCCAGTTCCACTTCTTCATCCCCTCGGCCCGCACGGCTCCTCACGCCACGTCTCCCGTTAACTTCCGACTCGTTTGACGGTATTTGAACTAGTGTGTGGCCGCATGTTTACCTGTTAGCTGGGTTAGCAAGCCGCAGTCGTTAGCATTTCTTGAGCTGACGTTAACTAACTACACGTCTTACTCGACACGTTCATATTACTTGTGGACATTAAATACGAGTAAACGAACAGACGGTTTTAATGTATTACGTAAACACGTTTTCTGTTGAATATAAACTGGCTTTATTTTGGTTTCAAACCGATTTCACAGTTGGCCCGAGCACCTAATGAGCTAACTGCTAAGTGCCTGCCGTGTTGTCCCGCCTCCAAATGTCAGCGATTGGCTGACCGCTAACAATAGCCTGTGACGTTGGAGGCTGTCATTGGTTGTTTTCTTTGTAAACCTTTCAGTCACAACGTAAGTAACGTGTAATAATGTAGGAATTTGTTTGTTTTTTAGATGATTGACGGATGGACGTTAGAAACTCCTACTCGGAAACGAATAAATACTAGATACAATTAAAGACCGTATACCCGCACAGACTTAAACAAAATCATTAAACAAAATAAAATACCACATCAAACTGTTTGATATTGTTATTTTAATTCGTGACGTTCCCACTAGAATAAAGACAAATGCATTTCATCCCACCTACTGATTACTGCACTGGTCCGTGTGGACCGGGACACTGATGTTGACAGATTACTCTCAAGCCCCGCCTTCCGTCTCCATGCTGCCGCTGCATTGGTGGCGAGCACAGTGCGCAGGACCGCATTGGCTGCTGTGTGTGTTTTTTTTTCTTAAGGGTCCCAAACTACACCGAGATTTGGAATATTACGTTACAGTCGTGAAGGAAAATGGCGACTGTCATTCATAATCCTCTGAAATCGTAAGTAAATCTGTAATTTTATTTTTTTTTTAAATTAGAGGATTCCTTTGTTCGCTTGCGTCCTGTGATTGGTCCACAATGCGCTCAACGCGCATTTGAACAGCAATCGCACGTTTAATACTTTCGCCGTGCACTTAACGTCAGGCGGTCCCGCTATGTGGTCTGCAGGTACCGCTGCGTAATTCTAATATTAAGAAATGCACTCGTGCACGCCGTGCAGGGAGAGAGGAAAGGGGGGAAAAAACACATCCCCGACCCGCGTGTAATTCCCCGCACTCTCCGCAGAAAGTTGCCATCGGTCCACATTCCGCTCCACAAACACGGCTGACAGAAGTTTTGCCAGCACGGCCTCTTTGTCGGCGCTAGACGTTTGGATTTGCGTCGACAATGTCGCGCAATTAAACGGCACGAAGCGCGCATCGGGAGGACGACTCGCTCGCTCACGGCGCGGCTGCGGATTTTGCGGCGAAATGTTAAATGCACGCAAACAATGGATGCGGGTCGCGTGTTGTTTCACGGTATTGCGTGTAGATGAACGCTGCAGCGTATTGCAGATTTAGGGGGCGTGCGATTTCCTTGAAGTTCTCTCTAAAAGCCGACGACCCACTGAACGTCGTCTGATCTCGGTAATCGGCGGGTGAGCGTTCTGTGATCCGTAGACGTGAAGATGATGCGACGTTTGAGGTCGGATTAGATAAATCGGACAAAATGTGGCAAAAGTACTTTTTAAAATATGTATACTTTCCCCTTTATTCCACACAAATTTACCAATGCAATATTGGTTGTGTTGGTTGAAAAAATAAGTAACAATATATAGGGACCCCGCTTCATGCGTGTGCTATTTTTAAACTAAATTCTGCTATATTTCAATGACTATTGCTGAATGCATGTCATGTGGACTGTGCACAGAGTGGGAGAAATATCACACAATCTGCAAGTACTAATCGTGGATAAGTGCGGCCTTCCTTTGCTTTCACTGAAGGAAGTTTCATAATACGGTGCCGCGCTCAGAAGTGTAAATATACCTTTTTAAAACGTCAAATATAGTCAGTCCTCAGCTGTACGCTTCGCTCACAGAACCACTAACGTGGTGAATAACAGATTCTATATTCATAATGGGAGGAAAGGAACAGGAGTGTGACATGTTTCTAAAGTAGAGAGCGAGCGGTCGAAAACGCCTCTGTGCTGCTGTATTCTACTAAAACAGATCAGGCTGTGGAGAATGTAGGCATACTGGTGTGTGTGTGTGTGTGTGTGTGTGTGTGTGTGTGTGTGTGTTTACGTGTGTGAGCGCATTTGTCTGCAGTTGTGCGTGCAGATCGGCAGATTAGGGGCGTCCCAGTATTCTCCTGGGTCCATCTGTCGGGAGAGGGAGAGGTGCATGTAAAGACGACTGATGGAGGAAGGGAACCCCATCTGCCCTTCATATATGACCGGATTCTCTCAGACAGTCATCTGTCCTCAGGATGGGGACCCGGCGGTCAAAAAGGACCTCATCATAAACCGTGCTGTGGAAGATGAATCACACCCACCAGCTGCTTGTCGTACACACGTCTGCCTTTCCCTTGACTCGGTAATGCTTAGATGTGCAGATTTTATTTCATTTTAACTCTCTCTCTCTCTCTCTCTCTTTTTGGAATACAAAGACCCCTTTGCGCTTGAAACCCGTGCGGCTGTGTGGGACCCGGACTCAAAGGAGAGCTTGACATGAGAAGTATTCAAATGAGCGGCGTCATTCATATGCAGAGATGCGCTCGGGAGCACGCCGTGTTCCCCTTTTTAGCTCCCGTCGTTTTATCGTGTTTTGGATTTGTAATGAACAAGAGAGCTCAGGTGGACGTCTGCCTGCGTTTGCATGAGGATTAAAATGAGATTTAGGGAGAATGAGATGTTGTCGGCGTGTGGGAGGGGGCGTGTACGGAGTTGTGTTTTTTATTGTGTGCGTTTTCTTGCGTGCGGGGGCGGTTGTGTAGCTCTGGCCACCCCTCCCCCAATTTGCGTGGGTGAGTGATTGAGGGCTTTTTATTTAGGAGGGGGCGCTGGTTTGGTTTGTCTGCATGCGTTTAAACTACACCCCTCATCACCAGGCTGAACTCTGGCCTTTGTGCTCTGCCGGGGAACGCAAAGGTCCGGCAATGGTTTCCAGGCGCGGGGCATTAAATGTCCTGGAACATGTTTTGCTCCATGCGGTGATCATTCCGGGCTTTCTTGCATCTTTCTTTTTAAGTACGTGGAACCGAGTGCATGTGTGATATTTTGGATGGTGGAGAGATGTGATTCATCATTCTCCAACGCAGCAAATAAATCTGAATCAGAGTTTTTCCCCTTTGCAACACCCTCGCCTGCACTCTGCACCTTTCCCTTTCATCCCCTTTGTGTGTCTGCTTGTGCAAACGTGTGTGTGTGTATGAAAGTGCGCCCGTGCACACACACGTCCTCGTGTTTGAGAGAAAACGAGTGTGACAGGGGTTGAAAGGGAACACGTGTGCCCCGGGACATATCTGGCCCATCCTTCCATTCTCCCTCCTCGGCTCCTCCTCCTCCTCCTCCTCTTCGTCTCCCTCCTCCCCGATTCGGGCCTACAAAGTGCCGTAACGACGCCTATCAGTGCCCACATGCTGTTGCCCTGCCCTGCATTTCCTGCGGGGCCTCCTACAAGTGGACTTCCTCCACCCTTGCTGCCTAATTTTGCGCTTCACCCCCATCGTTCCCCGTCTGAGCGGATCTGCAAGCTTCACTTGGAAGGTGCTGCCCGGTTGTTGCAGAGGCTTTTATTGTGAAGGAGTCAGGAGCTCACAACCCACTTCTCCGTTACTCATTGTGCCGAATGAGGTCACGCAAACATTTAAGCGGTTCGAGCTGAGAAAGGTCGCGCCTGGAAGGTCAAACAGACTGTGAGCGGCGCATCGTTGAAAATGACTGCTGCTCAAAGGCGCAGTGCGTGTTGTGCAACCCGAGGGAAGGTTTAGTAATCCAATAAAATATTCAAGCCTACACATTTTCTAAAAAAAACAGAGTACGTGAAGCATTTCAATGAAGATGTTAAGCGTTAATAGATGAACTGAGCGCGAAAAGATGCGATTCCACTACGGTCCACAGCGGGGTCTGAACCACGGGCGTAAATCACAGCGCCGCTCGTAAACGTCGTATTAAATGCTATTAGTTACAGAGGCAGAGCGATGTTTCAACACTACGTCAGCGCCTCAACGCACACACACACACACACACACACACACACACACACCTGCGAGAATGCCAGCACACTTAAACAGCAATGCACCAGAGGCTCTGTTTAGTGTTGATTTGAACACAGTTATCATTCTCGTTAAAATAGGGAAACGTGAGTGGAATTTGTCCTTTTACAGCCCTTCACTTTAGATGCCGCTGCAAAGAAGAGAGCTCAAATGAAATAAATTGGCAAGTCGTGACTGCGCGCCTCACGCCTCGAGGCGAAGCGTCTTTTTGTTTGGATTTTCTTCCACCGGATATGAGGGAAAAACAACAATCGGCTCATGAAATGTGTCGTTTTTTTTCCCCCGGACCGGTTTCAAAGAGGAAGGAAGCGTCGTGGATGAGGAGGAAATGAGCGTGAATGTGGGGGGGGGGGAGCAGGACAGCGGTTTATTATGCCGCTGATGTGAAAGGAGGAGGAAGAGAAGGCGCTGTGAGAGACACCTGACAGATGTGCACGTGGCAGATGAGAAGGGGATTAAAGCCGAGGACAGGAACCGAGGATTAAGTGCAGATCTAAAGTTCTACCTAGACGGCTCACACACACAAAGCTCCTCTGTGCTGGTTTGAGACAATCCCAGTGGTACACACACACACACACACACACAGAGCAACTGCAGATTCCATCAGTATCCAGGAAGCTGTGGACCAAGAGGAATGTGTTCCCAGACCTGCAAAAAGTCCACTTACATAAGCTCCATCCCGGGATCGGCCACACACTCGACTAATGGGAGACTCGCCCTGGTTGGTGGGTTTGAGGAGGCGGGCGGCGGCATGTAGAGGCACATTGCGACCCACGGACAGACGGTTTTGTGGGCACTGAGGCGCACACACATGTGTCTTTACTCTCGCTGAACGTCTCCCCCCTTTCCTCCCCCCTTCCTCCCCAGGCAGTCAAACGTGGAGGCGGCAACGCTGGCTTATGTGCGCGTTTACGAAGCAGCAGCCCGGGGACGTTACGCGGGCGCTTTGTGGCCGGAAGTGTGCGGGCAATATGGGATGACACAGGCAGGGAGGGGAGATAGATGCCTGTAGCTGCACACACACGCACACACACACACACGGACACACACAGTTCAGGCAACAAATAATGAAAGCCGAGATAACGCTGCACCTCTGGGAATGTGAGTTATGTGACAGGAAGTTTCATCTGGAGATCTTGGATTTGTGTTGCAGGCCACGATGTGCGCACACACACACACACACACACACACTGTGGCACTGAAGGTGCATATGAAGCATCTGCAGATGTTTAACTTTTCTTTTTCTGTGATGCTGTAAAAACAACAACGGGTGGTTTTTAAGGGGGCTATTTGTTAGCCAGTAGCAGCGGCTTCCTGGAACCTGCTGCATAGATACTAAACACCAGAACGAGGTCAACGCGCTGTTTATTGTTACATAGTTTCACACATTTGTTTGGCCTTCTTTTCCCCTCGCTTCTCCGTACCTGTCTGCTGTGAACTCTCCCCCCTTTTTTCTCCTTCCTCTCACCCTTCTCCTCCCCCAAACCCTCCTTCCCCCCCACACCCACCCTCCGCTTCCTCCACCTCCCAACACTGCACATCTTTGTGAGATTTAGTGCGACCAGAGTGCTGCTCTTTGTCCGGGTTGGAATTCTTGACATATCTACGCTCGGCCCGTCTGTCTGCCTGTCTGCCTGTCTGTCTGCCTGACGCGTGCACGCACACTGGTGGAGAGACGAGATCCGGCTGCTTCGGCCTCTCGGGTTCCCTTCTGCTTAGTTTTATTACCTTCAGCGATGTCTGGTACTAATGCACACGGAGTCCAAATTCTCCTTGACGGCTCACTCATTTACTAGAAGGTGGGTCGCGCCAAAGGAGGGTCGACTGGTTCAGTCCACTTCCTCTGGAGCGCAGCCATGTGTGCTGCTGCTGATCAGACCCGTGTGCTGCTCTCTGTCCTTCCTCTTCCTCTCTGGATTCCCAATGAGATGAAGAATAACCTTCTCACGGTGAATATTTTAGTGTTGAAAAAAGTGAGTTAATCTCCTTTTGTCGGTCCGTCTCTAATGAGGAATCTGTTACTCTGGAGATTATTGATGGCTCACAGCCTAATTTATACCCTCTCTCTCTGTGTGTGTGTTTGCGTGCGTGTGTGTGTGTGTGTGTGTGTGTGTGTGTGTGTGTGTGTGTAGCCCATCTGTTGTATGGATTTTGATCCGGCACTCTGTCGGATTCGAGGGGAAGATGCATTCTTCTTCTTACACAATGAACCCAAACAACGAGCCCAAATGTAGAGAGAAGTCCATCCGTTTGTCTGCATTCGGCTGCACAGGTCCTACTTTATTCGCACACGTCATTGTCAACGCGTAGCTTCTATAGGACTTCAAAAAGCCCGAAGAGAGCCGAAATCCAAGCAGCCTGCTGCAAATAGCTCGGATCAATGCCAGAAATGGGACGCGAGTGTTTCCCGCGGGTAACTTGACTCAGATGTTAACGTGGAAATGCGCGACGGTGAGGCCCGATTCTTTGCTTTCAGGCTCGGTGACCAGTTCTACCAGGAGGCCATCGAACACTGCCGCAGCTACAACGCCCGCCTCTGCGCCGAGCGCAGCGTGCGCATGCCCTTCCTGGACTCGCAGACCGGCGTGGCGCAGAACAACTGCTACATCTGGATGGAAAAGTGCCACCGCAAGCCAGGTGGGAACAGCTGCGCTAACTACATGGCTGGGTATTTAAAGTATGCGCACGTATGGATGCATAGAAACGATTTAATGCAAAGATCTCGTCCTGCGACAGAATAAGTCAACCCATCCTGTGTGTGTGTGTGTGTGTGCACACGAGTTGCCACTTGCAGTCAGAATGCACATCTGGGTCGCCCGTCCAGCCAACGGGGACGATCTGCTCTTTCCTGAGAGCTGGACGCAAATAGCCGGTTCTCCATCTTGAATGCAAAGCCCTTCAGGCCCCACCCTATACTTTGTGGCAGACCCAACTCGCATTATATGAATTTATTCTGAGTTCATCCCCACCCCCCCTCCGCCTCGCTTTCTCTCCCCCCTCTGCTCATGTTGAGAGAGGAAATGGCTTATTCGCCTGCATCTCTGTCCACATCCACATGATTAGACACTAAATCACCAGCTCGTTCCATTCACGGGGCAAAAAAAAAGAGTCTGCTTTTCTAAAATAGAGGCAAAGCAAAATATCTCAATTGTAAAACTGTATTTTATCACCCTCAACATTAAACAAGGGCTCTTCACCGAGGTGATGAAGAAGCCCGAATACCAGGTTTTATGTGAGCTTCTGGAGTTTCAGTGGGATCTTTCTGAATAGGTGGACTATTCCCCTGAGCATCGGAAGTGAGACATATTAAGTGTCAAGAAAAATGGGCCAGTTCAGTGTGTGTGTGTGTGTGTGTGTGTGTGTGTGCGTGTGTGTGTGCGCGCACGGTGGTCTCAAAACAGGTTTTGTAAAAAAATATAAGCCTGCCAATGGTTGTTAAAATTCTTCCTGTGTGTGTGTGTGTGTGTGTGTGTCCAGGCCAAGCAGCAGGACAGATGTACACCTATCCTGCTCGTTGCTGGAGAAAGAAGAGGCGACTCCACCCTCCCCTGGATCCCCAGCTCCGCCTGTGTGAGCTTCGACTGGGTAAGACAAACAAAGGCGCACGCACACACACACACAGACACACACACGCGACTATGCAGCACGTTGACATGCATGCACAGTGAATGCCAAAGCCGCAGCGCCATCGACCCGCAGTTGCACAATGAAAGCCACTGTAGGCGGTGCGGCCGGCTCCTCCTTTTGTGTGTCCGTCGCAGCGAGGTGTGCGTGCGCGCTCCCGGGCGGCCGCGCGGAGCTTCCGCGGCGTTAGCGGTCGCTTATCTGGCCATCTGGCTCCGGTTAGCCCTCCTCTTCTTGCCCAGTCTCCAGGTTCATTCTCTCCCCTGAATCAATACCTCCTCTCAGGGTTCTCTGGCAGTGGACACACACACACACACACACACACAAGCGCACAAACACCCCCACACATGACTCCCGCTCTGTGTTGCAGCACAGAAGCACCCTAACTGGGCCTCAGAATGTGAGTCTTATGAGGTGGAAGTGTGTTTGTGTGTGCGTGTGTGTGTGTGTGTGTGTGCATCTATGCATGCGTGTGTGCGTCTGTGTGTTATAGGTTTTTTTTTTTGCATAGGAACCCGATAAGTGGGAGACATGAAGGCGGCTCTTTGTGTCCGCTGCGCTATTGTCTCCACCTTGCTGTCTTCCAGACGCAACATAATACTGCAGATCGTTGATTCAGAGCGATTCAGCTTTTCAGGGGGAGAAAAACTAGAGAGAAGAAACTTCACCGACCAACCAAACGCAAACCAGCGATCCAGTAAACCAGAGCAGGAGAGCCGTGGAGGCCTCCAGGGCTGGACTTTTGTTTTTCAGAGATCCATTTCTGCAGTTTGGCCCGGATATCTATCATAACACGGCGGTGGAATGTGAGTGCTCCCCTTTCAGACTTCAGGACACGCTTTATGTTTATTTTATGCTTCCCGAGCAGAGACGTTTGTCTCTCGTGTCTTTGAGGATACGCAGACGTTTTGTCACGAGTTTACTCTGACATTTTTTTTTAAAACCGGAATCCGACTCCAACTTTTTTTTTTTTTTTTTTTTGATCAGCGGCTCCTCTGCTTTTTGTTTGCGGCGGCGCTGAGTGGACGCTCGCCACGTGATCTAGTGAGGCTTTTCAAAAAGACATTTCTCTACCGAAAGCAATGCTTTAAGTTATAAGTGTTTAAATTACAAAGAACTGTTTTATCTCCATAGAGGTCCCGACTTTTATCCCTAGTATCATCGGGGTCGACCTCCAATCATTCTGATCCTACATTTCCCACAATGCAGCACTGAAGCCTCTTTCATTAGACCCAGACCCTCGAGCCCGGTCTTCAGACCCCTTTTTGTCTTGTACTTGGTCACCTTGCTTCTGGCCTGTGATTCGGGATCAGTTTTATCTGCGGCAGCGAGTCCACCTGCACGAATGTACACAAAGAAATGAGAGGACGAGGAAGAGGAAGAGGAAGAGGAGGAGACCCACAGGTGCGGCAGCTCTAGGAGCATCTCTGCCGTTCTTATCACACATTTGCTTTCAATCCAGCGAGTAAATCCTGCAGCAAGATCGCCTCCACGGAAATGAATACTGGGAGAGCGAGAAAGACTACGAGTAGACGCGAGGAAGAGCGAGGAGATGTAGCTGAGCAGCGTCTTCTGCTTTAGGTTGAGGATTTCCTCCTTTTCTTACACCTGGTGCCACTGAAGCTTCCTCCACATGCAGCTCTCACTCAATGCATTTTCTCCTGCAGACTCTCATACTTTGTGTTCCTCCTCCTCTTCCTCCTCAGAAGCCGAGCTGGCCCCCAAGCGCGAGGTGCCCCCGGGGGAGGCCACAGCCCTGGAGGCCCTGCTGAGGGGGGACAGCCTGCTGGAGAAAAAAACCAACATCTGCAAGGAGGAAGAAACGTTGTTGGAAATACAGGTATTTTATCACGTGTGCAGTATGTACATTATTAATGTATATATTTCCAGACCATGGACCATGGACCATGGACTTCCTCCTTCCTGACTCTCCGTCCTGTGTGCGTTTGTGCCACGTAGAGGGTTCTGGAGGCGGAGGAGAACGGGGACGGTCTCCATGACGATGAGGACTTTGAGCAGGACACTCCAAAGAGGAAGAGCAGAAACCGAGGCAAAGTGAGCGTCACGGTTTCATCCACAAAACATCCATTCGGCTTTGTTTCTGCAGCATCTGACAAAGGAACACGCTCGTAGCTCCATCACGTAGCGGCGAGTTGAAACGTGCATGCTACGATTAAAAATGAAATCATCCTCCGTTTGGAAGTGCGCGCGTTGGTGGTCGTCAGACGATGTCGTGTTTTCCTTCCAGAACAGAGGATCCAGTCGCAGGAGGTCGGAGCCCGTTAACGTGGAGGACCAGGACAAACCTTTCGTCTGCGACAGTAAGAGAAAAGGGGAACATCACGTGCTGCTAGTTAACCCGAACACGAGCGAATTCCACGGCTCGAGCTTTGGATCTGTCCCCACAAAACGTTCATCTGTTTATGGCGTATCAGGAGACCCTCCTCCACATGCTGGTTCCAAAATCCAAGCTTACACTAATGTGGACAAACTCGGGCAGAATCCCCGAGAGAGAGAGAGAGAGAGAGAGAGATCGCCTCGCTGACTCGACTGAGCCGATGAACAGATGAATCTCATCCTCATTTTGTGTCTTGTGCTGTCTTTCCTTTTATTGTTTGCTTTTGTGTCTTCTCTGTTCCAGATAAATACAAACAAAAGCATAACTCAAAAAAGGCCGAAGAAGGTATCTGAACCTGTCGCCCTCCTGTCCTCCTAGGGGCTCCGTGAACTGTCTCTATATGATGGGCTCTTTCTCTCTGACTGAGTGGTGTCCCCCTCGCACACGCTTTAAACGCTTTGTGCCACTCCATGTAGCTGAATCCAGTGCAAGCATTGCATGAAACTAACGCCGAGTGTCTTGATGCATATTGCAAGGAATGCACCTAATGGCGCTTAAGCAGCGGCTCAACTAATGTCTGACCGGGGGATGCATGGTTTCTAAGGCCGGATTATCCTTGGATGTGCTCTGCAGATGTAGCCATTGTAGAAGTGTTCACACTGGGGGGGGCTTTGCTAGTGGTGGGGTTGGGTTGGCAGTTTGAGTTTACACGGAGACGATAAAGCTTCCGGGAGGAAAGAAAAAAATGGGATGCAGCTTAAATATATAAAGTATATATATATATATAAAGAAACTTCCATGATGGCTACAGCTCTTGCGTGTTCTTCAATTCTACAAAGACTCCTCGAGCTGCTGCATAGATTTTATTGAGCTCATAGATGCTTCCAGATCCTGTTTTTTCATAGATTAGACTTTTGGCTTTACAGTGAAGCAACAGCAGGATGGAGACAGAGCGCAAAGATTCGTCCTTAAAACGAGCGCCCACGGTGAGCGGAAAAGAAATCCGCCCCGTAATGTGCAACCAAAGGCTGAACAACTTACGAAGTCCCTGCATGCCAAACAATGGCAACGTCCACAGGTGGATATAAGGTGTAGTTGATGGTGGAGAGGAAGATAATGGCAGCTATGTGCAAGCTGGCAAACATCTATACTGCATCGCTTTCTGATTCACTCACATTCCCCGCTGAAGACATTTGCATACGCTGGAGATATTTGAGCCTAACTTACAGAAACACAGTCTCACTGCTGGTATCTGCTGTTTTCGGGGGTCCTCGGCAGTGTTTCCCAACAAGCAGCGGCTTTTAGGAAGTTTGCTATCCGATGAAAGTGAACAGGAGGCTCATTAAATGCGCTCTGTCTCTACACAAAGGTGCCCATGAAGCTCCAACCTGGTGTTGCTTTCTCGTAATATCTTTTTTCCAACAGTTCTGCTGTGTCCTATTCCCGTATCTGTTTGTCCTTCCACCTGTTACCAATCAAACCAGATCCTGATTTCATGTCAGCCTCCACGTTCCAACTTATTTAACTCACGAAACCATTAAACGGCATTGAACGTGCAGCGGCAATAAACTAATTGCTATGTTCTAATTTCATGGACAAACTGACTGTAAAGCCAGTTAACAAATCATCACGCAAACTAACCGCGAGTTCCTGCAAATTAAAATAGACGGGGAGGAGAAATTTGATTTGGTTTCCCGTGTTTTCTGATGGAACCTCTTGATGCTCCTCCGCCTGTAGTCTGCGGAAAGCGCTACAAGAACCGGCCCGGCCTGAGCTACCACTACACCCACACCCACCTGGCGGAGGAGGAGGGCGAGGACGAGAAGGAGGCCGAGATGGAGCCGTCTCCCCCGTTCAGCGTGGACAACCACAAACGTAAGCTTCGCGTCGCACGTTTCAAACGGCTTTCCCCTTCGAGCGCCGATGCGAGTCGCACTGTCGCACAACGATGACGCGTCCGCCGCTGCCCCGCCCCCCCCCCCTCCCCCCCCCACAGCTCAGAAGGCCGCGGACGGCAGCATCATCCCCAACGACTACTGCGACTTCTGCCTGGGAGACCAGGAGGCCAACCGGAAGACGGGCCAGGCCGAGGAGCTGGTGTCCTGCTCCGACTGCGGACGCTCCGGTGAGTCTCCGGTCTCTCCGCCGCGCGTGCAGGATTTAACGTCGAGGCCCCGGGGGTCACGGGGTCGGCCGTGAGCTGGCTGAGTTCAGAGAGTCCATTTGGACGCAGCGAAAACTGCTTTTATTGATTGTTTATGAGCTTCAAACTTCTTATTTTTACTTCCTTCCTTGCCCCTTTTCCTCGCCGCCCCTCCGCAGGTCACCCCACGTGTCTGCAGTTCACTGATAACATGATGCAGGCGGTGAGGACGTACCAGTGGCAGTGCATCGAGTGCAAGTCCTGCAGCCTCTGCGGCACATCAGAGAACGACGTACGACTATATATATATATATATATATGTACATATATGTACTGTAGGAGACGGGGGGGCTCCTGTGATCCCCTGTGGACATTTTCCCCCATTTTTGAGGTTGAATTTTCGCGTTGTTTCCTTTTAGCGACGGGACCTTTTCACTTTTGGATAAAATATGCAAACATCATAAATTCATGGGATGCATCTACGCGTGTTTATATTTCATAAGGTTGCTTGTTACTTACCGCTAGGGTTGCCAACTTCCTCAACACCAAAAGAGGGACACTTTTTTTCTCCAGGTGTGCGCGGGCGCGCCATGGCTAATGGACAGTTCTCGGCGGCGTACTGTGCAAAACGCTTTCCTTTCGTCGTTGGCGACTGCTTTAACCCACGACATTTTGGCTTCCCGTTCTTTTTTATAGCTGCAAAGTTCACTGCTCATTTTGACAGACGATGACGCTCGCCTCCCAGCGGCCAGTTCAACCAAACTGTCACCAACACGCAACAAGCGTGTCCCAGAGCAACGTTCGCCTGAGTTTTTGCCGCGTTTAAAGAAGCCTATTATTGGCCGTCTAAAAAAAAATATATATATTGGCTGTGATTGGATTACGGGACTGGAGCTGTCCCTGACGGGACATATCAAAATCGCCCAGAAATCAGGATGTCCCGGACAATTCGGGACGGTTGGCAACCCTAGGAACAGCAGTTTGCGCTTAAAAAATAAACTCTCACGTTAAAACTCGCCAGACCTCCGCTAATACTGCTCACTGCTCACACCGAGTTGCCGTATTCTCATCCTCTTTCCAGGCCGGATTCATATACTCTTTTCTTTTTTCTCCGCCTCTTGTACCTGTGTGTGTTTAACACGTCGGCGTATGTACGTCGCTGACGCAGGACCAGCTGCTGTTCTGTGACGACTGCGACCGAGGCTACCACATGTACTGCCTGAAGCCTCCGATGACCAAGCCCCCCGAAGGTTCGGCAGCCTCTCTCCGGCCGTCCATCATGCAGCGCCGTGTTGACACTACATATGTCGGGATGTAAGCCAACGGCTAAAGGCTGTATATGTTCTCTTTCCCCGCAGGGAGCTGGAGCTGTCACGTGTGTCTGGATCTGCTGAAGGACAAGGCCTCCGCCTACGGAGAGGCTTAACTTCTTCCCAGCACAGCCACGGTGTATATTTGTGCCGATTCGTTAACCGTATGACCGACACGCCGCGCTCTCTCGGGTACAATCACACACACTCCTTCACTCACACTTCAGTGCATTAGCGGGCTCCGGGCGGCCTCTCGCTGACCTTTTTGACCTCTCGCGTGGCCGAGCGGCACTCGGCGCCGCCGCCGTCCGGTCATCTCTCTACCTCACCACCCGGCAGACGGCGGCGAGACGCCAAAGCAACATGGCCGACACTGTGTAGAACATGCGTATGTGAGATACGCGCCCATCGACGACCGGCCGCGGATTCTTTTTAACTTTTTTACTGTAATTAATTGGAGTATTATTTGGAAGACGTGGCCGTGCTCGCCGCGTTCGACCAACGTTTGTTTGAATCTGTCGTCCCGGCCGCGCTCCTATCCGGCGTTTAGACTTCACAGTGACATTCCTTCCACTCACCTGGACGCGCTCAGCGTGATTCATGCCGCCTTTCGCGGGTCTTCGTCGAGCACGTCTGTCTTTTGTATCCCCGCAGTTACATGTGACACCCCGGTCCTCGATGTGACACTTTACACAATAAAAACACACCATTTCCTCACGTAGAACGTTATTATTTATTTATGGGTCCAATATCCAGGAGATCATTGTTACTGTAAATCAGTGGTTCCCAAACCACGTTTTCTGCCATGTCCCCTTTGTGGAAGCCAGAGTACTGGTCCCTCCACACCCAAATAGATGGAATTTGGTTTAACTGGTAACAACACTGATGAAGGTACTAACTAAAGGGGGTTAAATATGTTTAAATAACATATGAAAACCAGCTGCATTTGTGCAAATTGTCTTTATACACAAAAGACACAATGATCACCTGTAGTCATATGACTCTAGATTACAGCTGCAGCGGTAATTTAGTAAACAAATTAGCCTGTAGAATAGCGCACTAGTTCGAGTACCGACCATTTTACAATCCCTCCGCGCCCCTCTAGAGGGCTCCACGCCACGGCTTGGGAACCACTGCTGATAAACACGCAGAGAAGTGTGTGTAAAATCCAAACTACTTTTGAACAGCCGGTGTGGTGAATCATGCAAAGTGCTGAGTGAGCATCAGGAAGTTAACGCAGGTTATGCGACTCTTTATTGCAGTTTTCTCTGCAGTTCCGGTGCAACCAGAATACATTCTGGATTTGAATTGCAACACGAGTGAGGTCGACGCGTTCGATTGAAACGTGAAATCTTTGAACCCCTTTTGAAGCAAATGTAGTTTATGTTTTTTTTGGACAGAACATATTTGGTAGCACTAATCTTATGGTCGCGAAAAGGAAGAACCATAAAGAATAAGCTCAAAAGTAAAGAGACAAAGCCCTTCGAGAACACGCAGCTTCACAGGATATCACAATGAGCATTTTTATTTGTCTTTAGTGTGAGTTTGTATTTGATATTACTTTTCCATGGACAATCATGAGCTAGTGTAGATACAGTACATCCTGTTAATAATATGAAGATGGTTTTATGGTGTTGTTGGTGGGTTCGCTTCGTGTCTTCCTTTTAAACATGTCTTTGATGTCATTCTCATTCAATTGCTCATTCAAGCTTCAGTGATTTTAGATGTATTTTGTTGAAGTAAATGTTGAGTTTTGTGTTGAAATAAATACTTTTTTTCCATTAGTCTGATGTCTCTGCATGCAATTTATCTTTTTTTTTTTTTTCCCTGTAAAATAAATTCCCAGAAACACTGTACTGTTCCGTTGCCTTTCGACAATCCATTACCAGAAACCCAGATGTTGTGTATTCAATTCGAAAATAGATAAAGTGTGTTTATACGGCCGTTGCCAAGATGGATCCATCTGTTATTTCCATTACAATGTAATGAAAAGATAAGTCATCATTCTCCCCGAAGAAGTGGCTGCCTTGTTGGTCTGGCACGGCCTCCGTGTGGATGAAGGAATCCAATAAGACAAAATCCAGAAGCTTGTGATGCCTTAAAGTCTGGTGGACTGATTTTATGGATCCATAACAATATTGTTCCATATACTAAAACTCATATTTTTGGACAGTATTAGATCATGTGAATAACACGTCTGGATTTACAAAATGGATACAGTTCTCTTTCAGCAACAATTAACTGTACGAGTAAGACTGTTCATCTAATTTAATCTTAGAATGAATATTTCTTTACAACGACTTAAATGTTACATCTTTGTGCTTTGCACCTTTACAATTCATGACGTGTTGGCACTTACACACACGTACCACAAGGGGGCGTTATTGGATTAGAGTAGAGCGCTGCAGAGCACATCCGTCCAGATGTGCACTGCATCTGTATTGCATGAGTAATATAAATGTATTGCTACTGATCCATCGTGTGGTGGAGAGTCAGGCGCATTGTCCCCCGACTTATTCCCCAGTCACGGGCCGCTTCTAACAGGCACCTGTCGGTCATCAACTCACCCACCGCGTGCACGAATAACACGGGATAAGAGTGCGACTGCAGCATTTCTGTTGTGAGGATTGCTGTGTTGTGTTTCTCTAAGGACCTGCAGCATATGCGGGAAATGTGTTGGAGGATGTAGTTCTTTTAGTTTATGACAATGCCTGAAATTTCAAGAACTCAAATTCACTTATTTTGTCATTTAAATCCGCAGTGACTAGAAATGACAGCTGTCAGATGAATGTCATAAAGGGCATTCGTGTTGCATAAAATGATCAAATAGAAGAACATAGAGATAAAACCGTCGTTTATTGCAGATGTAAAATAAGAAGTTCTTTGCAAACAATCTTTAGCGTGCATCTTCAAACCAGTGAGCATTGCATCGATAGTCTGTTGTTCACTTATTAATGAAAGTGCAGTAAAACAACGAGAAAAGAGTAATATGACAATATTTTTATTGGGGAACAGATAGACATAAGAATACCTGCTTTAAATTAGAATAACTGCCTGTGGATCTACAGTTAAAAAAAAAAGTAATTAAATACCGAATTAACAAGTTTGTCTACACCTCTTCAGACGAGAAAAGCGACACGTGATGCAACTGGAGTTTCTGAGTCTCTGCAGCGTGTTTGCCTCTAGCAGCTGGTGGTCATTTCGGAGATGATGGACAGGAAAGTGCTGGTGGCGAATCCGGGGTTGAGCAGCAGCTGCTCCAGCATCTCTCTGCCTTTCTCCCTCGTGGCCACTGAACACATGGCGCTTCTCCACATGCGCACCAGGGATCCGGCTGGCGGAGGACGACATCATCATCATCGCCATCATTAAGAGTCAAAAGGTCATGGTGCTTTTGTGTGTGTGTGTGTGTGCGTGTGTGTGCGTCCTACCCAGCATAGTGTTGGCGCTGTTAATCCAGGAGAAGATGTACAGTGTGTGGTTCTCCGCCTCGCTCAGGTCGGCGATGCTGGGTGCGCTGTCTCCACTCTAAGCGTGAAAGGATGTGAAGAGTCGGTGTCAGTGCTCGGGTTGTGAAAAACAATTGACCAGCGACTAGCCAGAGCCGACTGCGGTCACGCACCTTTAAGACGCGACCTGGGAGAGGAGTTATGAACAGGGCCGACTTTTCCAAGTTGGACTGGAAGTGTGCGGCGGCGACGTACTCGCCCGAGTTCTCCCAGCTCTTGGCAAAGGACACCTCTTCAGAGGAGTAGTGGCTCCGCCTGAGCACACGGGGAAGCAAGAGCGGATGTTTTAAATGACACCGCACCACACCAGCATGCACCGTCCGCTGTGCAGCTTGTTCCATTGCTCTCACCGAGACTCGTTGCATTCAGATAAAAATTGACCGGAGGGACGCACGGGTGGATGGAGGGGGATATTACCTGGCGCTGCACGCAGAAGAGGCGTACGTCGAAGCCATCTGGGCCTGCCAGTAGAGGCCAAGGAGAGCGTCTTTCTTCTCATTGTCTGGAAGAGGGGAATCAGCCGCGTCCAGGAGACCCTTTAAACACACACACACACACACACACACACACATAGTTGAGGAGACGTTTATTCATGTTTTCGTGTCGTAACGCGGATCTGTCCGTACCTGGAAGAAGGCATCCCACTTAGTCATGGCGTCTGGGAAGCGAGTGGAGCAGTCAGCGTACGTTGTGCAATAGTCCGTCACGCCCTCGGGGACCTGCATCTGGACCTGAAGGAGGTCCACAATGTGTCGTGAGTGCAGCTCCACGTTGACGTTGTCAGCGTGTGACTGGTCTGCTTTCCTCTTCGCTCCCCACGTACCTGAACTCCTGCTCCCATGAAGCCCTTCTGCGCAGCGGACAGGAAGGGCAGCACGGAGGTGAAGTAGTTCACACCTGGTGGAGGTAAGGAGGTGGTTTTCTTAGTGTTTTACCTTGTGTGTGCGCGTGTGCGTGCGCGTGTGTGTGTACAGGTGTGTTTGTCATACTTACAGCCCCACCAGCTGTGAGTAGAAACACACATTTTTTCTCCCGTTTCCAGGCCGCAGGTTGAAGCGCCGGTTGGGTCGGCGAGACGCCCTGAAGACGCCACACATTGTACACAACGCCATCAGTTTGTGTCTATATTGTATCACATCACTGCTCCCAAATTTAATTAAAACAATGTCTATTTTCTATTTTCCACTTACCCGACGTCAGCATCCATCCAAGCTGCAGCGGCAGCCCCCACAGCGGACTGTCGGTGGCATTTGTCCCCATGGAGCCCATGAAGGGGTCCGTGGCAGCTATCAGCAGCCGGTACAGACTCATGCGGTGAAGGAAGTGCCACGGGTCGGGGGTCATAACGCCCTCGTGCGACGGCATGTCGGCCACTTGGCCGGCCGTTTGGGTCCACAGGATGGGCCAGCCGTTCTCTAGGATGACAGCGGCGCCGCCGAGAGAGGCGGCGCACGCCAGAAGGAGGCCGAGGGCCGCGGGGCGCAGCATGTTTTTTTTTTCGGGAGCTTTGAGGGTTCGAGCCGTCGCTCAGAGTCCCGTGAATTCAGGGCTTATATAGTCGACGTTGCGACCCCGAAGTCAACTGAGCCATGTGACGTGCAGTTCAGTGGCCCTGACAGTGGACGGATAAGATAAATGGGTATTGGTTGGAGCTCGGAACAATCCGATTACTAACAAATAGAAAGTGTCTCTCCTGGATGGATACAAAAAACACCAATAAAGTCGATATTAAAGAGAAATAATGCAGCAGACTTTCATCCCGATCCAATCGGCAACATTTAGGATATTCAAATATCTTAATATAGCAAAAATCTTTACTTTAGTACAGAAAACCACATTGAACTGTCCTGTTGACTAATGAGATAAGAGCCATTGGTCAACATTGGTGAATCACATCTGCTTGTGTGAGTGTTTTCCAAGAGTCACTGGGACAAAGGTGCCACAATTTTGTCCACGGACGTTGAAAAGAAGATAAGCGGTTATAAGGTTATAGGCCCATGTTTGTACCTAAAAACCGCAGGAACAACGGAACATTAAATCCAAATGACGTTGTGATCCCGATTGGCTTTTGGTCCGGACCAGGAGTGTCAAACACACTTTAATCTCAAGTGGGCCCGGCCAGGGAGGTCGTCCGGCAGGCAGACCATTGCATAACGGGTCGATTTGGTCGCTGTGTGGTTAAACTGCATGAACCTCGATATCCAAACATTGTGTGCAGAGTTCAACAAATTTGGTAACAGATGTTTGCTGGTATGATGCCTACCTGCAGGCAATATTTTATTAAGGATGCAGTCATCAGACTTCTTTTAGTAGCCAAAAGTATTTTTTCTCGCCCCAAAAGTAGTTCATTTTGAATAAATGTACATTTAAAATACTGGAATCAGCCCATGAAATACCCTCAATGAGCGATTCATCAAATAAAAATACTCTGCCACGCGTTCAGTGTTAATTTTCAGAAAGTTCGATATTATTATTAATAAGTAATGCATTTAAATTTCATTTTGTAGCTAATTATCGCATCCAGTGAAAACACCAGCACAGAGTGCTCCTCACGTGAGTGGATTTTATAGCTCCAGGGTGATGATTTTGTGTCGCTTCAAAGTTTAAACAAACCTTCCTTTGTCGGACAGAAATCTGTATCTTCCAGTGACTCGGCTTCTGCTGCCAGGCATCACGTGACGAGGGGGAGGGGCCACCAACCAGGAAACGCACCGCCGTCGCAAGTCACCAGAAGGTAAAGTTCAAACTTGTACTAAACCGAACTGAACACTTATCGACGCTTGACAGCGCCGTCGGCATGAGCGCCAAATCACCGTGTTCGCGATGAGGACTCGATTCTACTAAACGCAGCGACGCGAACACGTGTGTTGACCGAAAAAAATGCCCAACCAAAAAATAAGCCCAGAGACAAACATCTCAAATTGGTGCTGCGACTTTGATAATGACGTAATGACTCGCCCGACGTAAGGGCGAGGCTCAAACTGACGCAACTTTAGCGCACATAATAGTAGTAATGGTGCCCGTTCGTTGTGCGGTAGCGTTGCGCTCCTTGTGACCGTAAAGCTCACGTGATTTCCGCATTTTTCTCGCTGCCAGGTGCAGTGAAAGGGGCGCGCGCGCGCGCACGTTCGCTCAGGCGGGAAGGGAGGATGCAAAGATGTACATTAAAGACACGACGGAATGTTTAAATGTGCTTAAATGACGAACGTTAGCCCCGCCCACAGCAGCAGCAGGGCGGTGATTTACGTGGAGAGCCGACCGGAAGTCTGCTCCACCTGGTTGTAGTAAACACCGCCCACGCGCCCTGTTATTTGACTGCGTCCACTGCAGATGAGGCTTTAATGCGCTGGACGCGGGAGGACTTTAGGTATTTTCACACCGCTGGATCCCAATTATCATTTGTAAAATCTGTTTATATCCAATTATTTTGGGAGTCAACTGTTGTCTCTGTTGTTGAACTCTTTATCCATTGTTTTTCACATTGTGTTGAAGGTTTTAATTTATTTAATTTTAATTATTTTATTTATTTGTGGTCGAGTTTATGGTATTTAAAAAAATATATATATATATAAAAATATATATTTCAAGCTGTTACTGCTTTAAATATTTTGGCTCTTCTTTGCTCTTTTTAACTACATTTTTAACTAAATATTTTACTTCCATTCTTGTTTTGTTTTTTGAAGTTAGCTGTATATAATTGACTTTTCATCCAACAATTTTGCCAGCTAGATGTCATGCAACCTCCACCAGTTAAATTTTTTTTCTCCACACCGACAAAAATACAAGACTTCAATTTGAAATGCATCTGACCCCAAAAGAAGAATAATCAATATGTTCCCACACTGTTGCATGTCCAGCATGGAACATTCTGTTCAAATACCCCAATGATAAACTTGTGTTCCAGTGAAAAACAGCACACGTGACCCTCGATCCTCATTGAACCACCACAGAGCTTCTACTTGGCCTTCTGAACAAGTTTGAACTGTGATTCATTAATCAATAGTTTGTTCAGTTGATATTCCAATATTGTTAACCCATCACACACCCTCTATTGGGACATTTGTCTTAGGACAACAGAGACGGAAACAGGAGGTAGAATATTCATTCATTTTGATTTTAAAATGTCCAGGGTCTTTTTCCAGGGGGATGTTTGTATTTTGGTGCTTTTAATTGTCTGGTTGAATTGGAACAGGTGACGTTATTTCCAAACCCTTCATGCAAAATAGCATGTATTTGTGAAGATGTTTGTTCATAAAAAAAATAATATGAATGTGTCAAGTACAGGTGTAGTATCTGGATGTCACTTTTAGCCATTTAGTGTTAATTACAGTTGTGTAGAATTAAAACTTGTGAATGTGAAACACATTCAACTAGACGACCAAATGGTTTCAGCGCAGATGCCCGAAGGTATTTTCACACGTTGGTCGCAGACGCAGTGAAATGCGTTGTGAAAGTCGCGGTAACTACGGTAACAGTCCGTCCCACCAGCGGGCGAGGGGATGTAAACGTGTGGCGTGTCCCCACAGCTCTCCGTCATGGCCTACCAGGCTGGGATGCCCGATAAGCCCAGCGCTCTGGTTCAGAACATAACCTCCAACATCCAGAAGCTTACCCTGCTGAGTAAGACACGCACACGCACACACACACATTACATCTCCTCCTCCTCCACTAAGTGAACCGTGGTTTGCACGTGGAGACACTTGGTTACGGTTGGACAATGCGTGCACTCTTTGTCGTCCCACCAGCCTCGGAGCTGCAGCGGGTCGTCTCTCTGCTGGGGACGGAGCACGACAGCAGCCAGCTGCCGCAGACGCTGTGAGTAGTGGAGGGACGCCGTCCGCTGCGATGGCGCACCTCGAGCGTCTTATATATGCGATTTGTAAATTCTGCATTAAGGAAATCCAGCCTAATGCAAACTCCACGCACACACGCCAACAGCTCTTAACACGGACCAATCGGGTCTCATGGCCACTTCTCCTCTCAGCAATCCCTTTTTCTTGAGGTCTGTACAGTATTCATCTCTCATAATAATGTTGTCTCCAGGCAACAGAAACAGCAGCAGGGCAACCAGCTGGCGAAGGAGACGGACAGACTGATCAAAGCATTCAGTGGGCTTCCTGTTGGCCCTGATCAGGTACTCGACTGCTAATGCCTTCACCAGCGATCGTTAAAAGTCATCATTTCCCGCCCGCTTTTTAATACTGACTTGGTAAATGTTTAAAGTGCAACGTTTGCGTTTCAGCGGCAGAGAAAGATCCAGAAAGAGCGGCTGGTCAACGACTTCTCCGCCGCCCTGAACAGCTTCCAGAAGACGCAGCGGCAGGCGGCCGACAAGGAGCGGGAGTTTGTGGCCCGAGTCCGAGCCAGCTCCCGGGTGTCGGTGAGCGATCCGCCGCGTTCGGCAACGTCACCAGCTTAGACTCTAGACCGGGGGGGGGGTTGGTGATGGAAGTAAATAGAAGGAAGAAGGAGAGTCCGGGCTGCTCGCCCGGGCCACCTTCACCCCAGAGAGGCGTCTTCATCGGCCGCGTTGGTGCTGATTAGCAGCGGCGTGCGGCTTTAAGTGGTTGTCATGGAACATGTCCTGGCAGCCCGGGTTTTATTTGCTCTACGCCAACATGCATTCCTGTTTCACAACACATAATCCATATGTGTCGACATCATGAGGTGATTTGTAGGTTTCGTGTAACCTTGTGCTGTTCCCACAGTCACGGTAAACTTCTGTATTTCCTTTGAACAGGGCGGACAGCCCGATGACAGCTTTGGAAATGTCCCTGCTGTCTTTAGGTAGGTCCACTATTTCCGATCATTATGTGTAGTTCTCAAGGTTATTATTACTGTTATTACACATTCCTCCCCGTCCTCCCCGGCAGTGAAGCGCAGGTGCAGGCCCAGGCCGAGGCCATCACCGAGGAAGATCTGAGGCTGATCCAGGAGAGGGAGATGTCCATCAGGCAGCTGGAGGTACGCACGTGAATCGTGAACGCCCACAAACACGGATGTAGATAGATAGATACTTTATTGATCCCTCAAGAGGGAAATTTTGGTATCACAGCAGCATGTGCAGGGAAGAAAATAGAATAAAAAGATACACATTATATACAATATAATAAGATAGAAATATTAAATTAAATTAACTGAAACAAAAGAATAACCTTCCAAAAGAGACAATAATAATAATTTGCAAAAGGAGAAGAGGAAGTGTAAAGTGTCGCATGCGTGTTGTCCTCTCACGTGAACCATCTCCCTCCGTGTGCCTCAGTCGGACATCACAGACGTCAATGACATCTTCAAGGACCTGGGGATGATGGTCCACGAGCAGGGGGACATGATCGGTGAGCTTCTGACGCCTGCTCTCAGATTCCCTGACAAACATTTTGTTGCCTCAAAATAGCCCAATAATTAAACCGAATCGTTGTAATAGTTAATAGTTAATAACGAACAGACAGCATTAGGAGTCATCGTCCCCTGTGTTTCCTGCAGACAGTATAGAAGCCAACGTGGAGAGCGCCGACGTGAACGTCCAGAACGCGACCCAGCAGCTGTCCCGCGCCGCGGACTACCAGGTAAACTCAGCGGACGGGGAAAAGGGTGGAGGGGTTGGCTTGTCACTAGTGGATCTGAGGACGAAGAGAAAAAGGTGACGCGAGTCACACTGTGCTCGTGAGTCACGTCAATCCTGAGTAAATCCAGCCGTCGCTGCATTATAATCCAGGTCATATTGAGAACTCGTATTCACAGAGAGTCTTTGTGCTCTTTCCCTCCCCAGCGGAGCTCCCGGAAGAAGATGTGCATCCTGGTGATCGTGTTGCTTGTAGTTGCTCTTATTATTGGACTCATCATCTGGGCTTCCGTCAAAAATTGAAGGCTCCTTCTCCTTCTTCTCCTCCCTGTCCTGGTTAGTCACCAACCCGGACAAAGCATGAAGCATCGTCCCTCTCTTCCTTTTCCTCCTTTTTCTCGCTCATCTCACCAGGGGAGTCACCTGGGCCGTCTGTTTTTCTCCTATTTAAATTATAACAGTCTTTCGGACGTGATCGTAATCTGGAGACGTAGCCGTCTTTGTTGACGGGATTGCACACTGTGAAATCAGAAACCCGGGTTTGAGGGCTTTATTCTTAGAACCGGCTTTGATTGGGTTATTTCTGTCTGATTCTGGCACTATTTACTACACGGGAAAGCTTAGATGTTTTAGTCCTCACCTGATTCTCCGAGGGAGGTGCGAACACAGGTGCAGCATTGTTCTGTGTGTAACCTTTAAGATTTCTTAATCAAGTCACATATGAAAAACGGCATTCGGCTTATTGCGATTTTCATCTAATTGAAAATGTAACGTTCGTTTCTTTAAATTGATGTCCTGCACTTCTGTTACAATGATAAATGTGATCAATGTGCCATATATACCCATGATAAATCCTCTGCATAGGACCACGTGATATACACTCCAACGCCAGCAGTCATTCCAAATCATTAGAGGAAGATTTTGTCCTGTGTTTCCTCCTGTTTTTAATAGAGGAGAGACTGAAAAGACGTCACCTTTTTATCGAAATGACTCGCATGTCCCGACGTCACAAATGATCACACACACACAGAATGTAGGTGCCGCATGCGATGCCTCGACGTGGCGGCGCACGCCGCGCGGGTTCCTCCAGCGGCCTGTCTGACGGGTTAAAGGTCGATTGTTCGCGGCCCGGCGGAGCGGTCCAGTCAGCCGCGTTGGGCGGGAACACACGCGTGTGCGGGGACTTTACCGATATAAAAAGTGCTTTGTGTGACCGACGACCGACAGTTACCGTCTTCCTCTCTTAATTCTTTGTATGAAGGAACCATCAATGTAACTGGAAGTAAAGTGAGACCAAACAGGAATTATTATTTGCTGCAACCGATAGACCTTCATGTAGAACTGTGATCACGTGTATATTTTAGATACTGAGATTACGCTGCCTGCAGTTTGCTGAATAAATTGTGAGAAGATTCATTTATGCCATTCTGATTTTATTCATGAATCATCACCTTTTACATGACCGCTAACACTGTTTGATTAGTTCTTATTTCAGTAACAATGCTTTTTGTTTAAGACTATGGTGTTCCTATAACCATTATAATAGTGTAATTGTCCATAACACTGTAGTTAGTTTTACATTAAAGTAAAAAAATAAGAGAAAAACCTGCAGGTCGCTTTGTTTTTTAAATTATTTAAATGCTAGTGTAAAAAAACAAATATTCAACATGTCATTTACTGTCTTACTGACGCAGAAGGAAAAGTTTGTGGATGGAAAAGTGGAGCATTTGGACACCCAGCTGTGAACGCGTCACTCGGGCGGAGGACAGGTGGGACGGGGGAGTTTTGCGAGGCAGGTCACACACGCAAAAAGTTGCAGGTGGCTGCAAAGAGCTGAGCAGGATTTTCCTTCCGAGCAGAAATGCCAGAGCTGAGGAGCACGAGGACACTTTGTGCAGAGTTACTGCTCAGTGAGACACTGAGTGTCACACATTTACTTTTTGTTAAAAATAACCTGTTTATGTTTCTCCTTCAACATGGCAACTGGTTTTGCATGTTGATGTAGAAAACTGTTGTGACAAACATACAAAAAATGGAAATAAAATGCTCATTTGGGAAAATCCGGACCTCCCTGTCTTCAGCCTGCGTCATTAGAAAACACACTGCAGGAAATAACAATTTACTATTAGTTTTCCTTTTAATTAGAATTTGAAAGAAGGTCTTTGAAATATGTCATTTCAAATGCTCATTGCAGAGGATGCCATAGAAGAAAGATTTAAAAAGCGGAGAATAGTTTGTCATGAAATGTAACAAAGTCTAATCATATTTTGTCAAAAGATTCATTATTTTCAATTGAAAGTACAGAAAACTATATTGATTGGAAAAAAAGCCAGACTATAGTCATGTTATAGGTTCATAGTAGCTTAAAATATGTTAAATATGTTAAAGTAAACATTTAAGTTTAACGTCATGATTTAATAAGAAAAATGAATGAATGAACGTTTTATTCTATGTTATTTATGAATTTTTAAATGATCTGGTCCCCTATTAATGTTTCCCCCTGTCAGCCTGCTTTCAACACATACAAACACTATAATTAAACCTAAAAAAAAGTCATAGTCCACGATGCAATGAATGTACATGCATTTAGATGAGTGAAGCTGCCAGCAGGGGGCAGTGCTGCAGTACTTTCCCCCACGATGCCCCAGCGTGTACACCCCTACATGCACCCAACACCTGTACTGGTATTATCGTTGGTATGCATTCAATTATTCAGTAGCCACACATCCGTTCAGTTGTAAATGTCATATCATCGAGCAGCAGCACAAACCCAGGAGCTTCTTCCTCTAGACCTTCATCACGGCCCTCCAGGGCTTTGATCGTCCCCTCCGAGCCGAGCCAATTAGCTGAGATCAAAGTCCGGACCGTCCCACCGAGTGGCTGCTCGGATTCAACCCATCCAGCGAAACCATCATGCAGAAGCGTCCTCGAGCGAGACAATGAGCCCCTGCGTGCTCTGAGGGGCCGATCGGCCTGTCGTAATAATAATCACCATCACACGGATGAGTCACGGCTTCGCAGTAGTAAAGAGATCGTGTTAGCAATCAGCCTGTCCAAATCCTTTCCCTTCCTTTCCCTTCTTCTGACCCTTCTTTCATTTCCCCTCTTCTCTCCTTCGCTCTCCATTGCAGCACGTCCACGGTGCTTTATTCATGGCTGCAAGACGCACTCACTCTTTTCAGGTCAGCCTTAAGCCGGCTCCCTTTCGGCTGTTTAAACGCCAAAGAGCGCGCTTTTCTGAAAGCAATATCAAGGTCAGTGCATCAACCGTTGTGAAGTTGAGGTATTTCAGGTTAGTTTACCAGTCGCAGTGCTTACGAGGGACCAAGTGTCAACGCTTATAAAACACTTTGAGTGCGTCACAAAGCCGAGCCAACAAAAGTCTGCGTAAGTGAGTTGTTGACACGTGGAAGATGCCGGCGAGCATCCTCAGGTCTGGTCCAGCATTCCTCCCCGCGGCCCAGGAATGTGAACTTTACTCAGGAGTCCCAGCAGCGGCCCAGCAGGAGGAATGCACGGTGTGTTTGCTGGTAAATATCCTCCCCGAGGTGTGCTCTCCCTCAAAAGGGCTCATGAGTAAAGACGGCGGTGGAGCCGCCGCTGGTAGCCTGACAACTGGCACTGGAACAGAAAAACACGCCGGGGTGGGGGTCGGATTCAGGGGCCTTCTGTTTATTCTGGTAAATATTGATGTTCTTCTGAAGAGGAAGTAGCTCTCGGGGGTAGGTGACATGATGTTCCACGCCGAGGGGAAGCTGCTGCCCTCACCTGCCGTTTCAAAGTGGACATTCCTTGCGTGCGCGCGGGAAAGGAACCCGCAGTCCACCTGCGCCCAACCGTTTACTCCCCCTGCGCCGGCCAAACACACAATCCGACATCAAGCGAGCATTCTGTGCTCTTTGAGTATCTGAAGCGGCTGCGTTGAGATGCTAGTGGCTTCTGGGGACGGGGGGGGGAGGGAGGTCAGTGGTGAGGGTCCAAACGACTTCAATGACCAGGAACCTTGTGATGTGATGTCGGTAAACATCGGGGCGGCGCATGCCGTGGCGAAGGAGGTACAGCGGGCAACTTATCGGATAATTGGGGATTCAAAGTCTCAAGATCGTGAAGCCGAAGCCCAAGTTGCTCCGGTTCGTCTGCCGCTGGAGGTGTGACTGAGATGCGTGAGCGTGTGGATGGATAAACGTTGACCTTGTGTAAAGCTCTTTAAGTGGTCGGAAGAATCCATCGTGTTATGTTTCACGTCGGTTTACGAGCCCTTTTAGTGTCGCTGGCCTGTTTCTCATTTTCCTTTCGCAAAGAGATCAAAATGATCTTCATCCGTGGGAAAAGACCTTATTCTCTTTTACGGCCTTGACGTCTGGTAGTACTATAGTTCTGCTGAAGGATCTGAGTAGGAGTGAAATAGGAACAAGTGAATCAAAAGATGTCGGAACAGAACCTCAGAGAACGATCCCGGATGTCAGCGTAACAAAGTAATAACGATGTGCTTCACGTGGCCAGAATGCTCTTCAAGAAGCACGCGATGAAGGTCTTTTCACGTACCACCGGACGGACTGCTCGCTTCCTCGCATCGGGCCAGATGTTTCTCCAGCTACCTGTCTCACAGGTTCCACGTCTTCAGGCGAACCCCCATATTCTCACCGGTTTGGGCGGGTCGCAGCTCTCCTTTAACTCTGTTTACATTCTCCGACTTCTTCCTAAAACCACTTCTGCCTTTTGTGGTTTAAACGCTGACCTTAAAACGCGAGGCTCGTTCCTGCGGTGAGGGGGGGGGGGGGGGACATCGGAGGTCAACGCTTTCCTGAGCTCTCCGATGGCGGCACAAAGTGATTTACTCGTCGCTAACAAAAGGAGAAGACGAGAGAGGCCCCCTCGTCCACCTCCACCCCCCCTCGTCCACCTCCACCCTCACCCCTCACCCCCCCCAGCGGCTTTTGTTGCGTCCCGTGTGAACACGTTTAAATACCATCCTCGTTTGCTCGCCTCATCATCGTCGCCTAGATGTCCGTTTGCCGACGTAACCCGGGGGCCAAAAAATGCAGCGAGACCAACGGCGGTGACCTCGTGGGCCATCGCAGCGGACGTCACCGCGTCCAGCGCGCCGCTGGTGGGAGAGCGGAATGAAGGACGGAGGCGTGGAAGGCAGGGAGGTCGTCGAGCGATGGACTCCTAGGTGGCCGTGCTGCTGCTCTGGACGGATGTGGCCTCTGGTCAGACCACACGCGGCCCGGCTCTGCTTATTGTTATTCAGCGGTGAGGATTTAACTCTGGGCCTTTTTACTGCGATGGTGGGTAATAAGATGTGGGTGTCGTGTTAGAAGTTCCCCGAGGAACTAAAGTTACACTCGGAGGATTTGGATGAAGCAGGAAAAACACGGCAGCAGAATAATCTTAAACGGCTTCCGAGCCAAACTGTGGAATTTTAGGTAATCAGGGAACCAAATCCATTACTTCTGTTAGTTGATCCTTCATGCTGAGACGTGCAATCTAACACGTTTGACTATTTGGATTGATTGTTAACAATGGGGGAAAATAAATTATTGCAAAGCTTTGATTTTAAAGCCTTAAATGAAGTTATTTATCTCATTAGATAATCCTGAATAAATAAGAAACAATCATTTGGATTAAACTCTTCATGTGAGATTCTATTATTGATAGAATAGAATGCTGCTCTTTAGAGGTGTTGATTCCTGAGTGTCAGAGTAACTCATCTTAGATCACATACGTGAGATAAAGACTATTAACACTGCTAACATATCAGACTTCATTAAATGATTAAGTGTGGCCTATTCACGAGTCTTAAAGCCATGTTTCGTTTGTTGGCACAAAGGAAATAAATATTAAAGATTTTTTTGCACAGACGAGCCGCAATGCACAGCCAGCGAATCGGGCGCGGGAATCGGGCTGCGTTGGAAGGACAGGAGGGGCGGTTTGAGGCGCCGCGCGCGCGGGTGAGTGGGCAGGTGGGGGGGGGGGGGGGGCAGATATGGGCCCCAGGACAAAGTGACCATCACACATTATGTTTAAAAAGACATTAAATGGAGCTGTAAGGTAAATTCAGATGAGATGTCCCCGAAATGTTACATTACATTAAATGGGATAAAAACGAGATGAGATAAACTTTACTTTAACGAGACTAAATGAATGTATGAGACGACAACGTGAGAAGAGAACCGGTGAGTTAAATTTAACCCAGATGAAAGTTGGTATTCACAGACGAGTTTTAAATGAATGTATTTTTACTGAAAATGACGGATGAGATGAAACAACTTGAGACCATAAGAGGAGTTGAGGTTATGAATAATAAATACATGGAGACGATTAGATTATATTACTGATTTTACATGCTTTAAAGATGAAATGAGACTGATGATTTATCTGGTGAAATAAACAGAAATGAGAGTATTAAATAT